TAACACATAAATTGGAATTTCATTTTATAAGATGTACATGAATAATTAAAACACAAAGTTTTTGTAATTTTATTGTTACTTAAAACATTAAAAAAATAGATGCCGATATTATACGAAAAAGAACTTGAAAATGTTATATGGACCTCAAACAAGTATTTGGCAAAATTGTGTTTGTATTAAAGTTGTATTATGCATATGGCTTTTTAATGTCAGTTTTCCTCCAAATCACCATTCTTCTCATCATGAATTTGATAGTCAGTCCAATGTACTTCATTAACCGTTCCATCTACCAATGGATATTCCAACGCTTCACAGAAGTATACATGTGCTATTTTTCCATTCATTGTTACTACATAAATGGAAACAAATTGTTATATAGTGGTGATGATTTGATTGCCAACGAAAACCAGATCTGGGTTCAAAATCACACACATTGGTTTGATTTTGCTCCTATTTGTATGCTTTCTCCAATGGTCGGGAGAATAGGTTCTATGCGTTTTTTTATTAAAGACGAAATTATGAAACTTCCTTTTATTGGGTTTGTTTTCATTTTCAAAACAACAAATTTCTTTGTCTCGAAATTTATTGGCAGTTGCTCAACTAAGTAAATGTATTATAAATATATAATAAATTTTGTATTATAAGAATAACAAACAGATTTGGACTTTATTGGATGGATAATATAATGTTGAAGAGAAACTTTGCAGACGACGAAAAACACATCAACGAGACATTCAAACGATTGAGAAACAAATACTATCCTTTCTTGTTAATTATCTTCCCTGAAGGTACTCGAGCAAAACCAGAAAGAATATTAGAATCACAAAAATACGCAAAAGAGCACGGACTTCACGTCTATAAAAATCTGTTAAACCCACGGCCGTTAGGTCTTTTTCATGCTCTTAAACAACTCAAAAAGGTAACACCATATTTGTATGACCTCACAACTGGATACGGACCAGGAGCTTCACTTGGGGTTGTGTTCTGCCCGGGCGATGGGGTTGACATTCATGTACATGGGAAAAGATACTTGACAAAAGATTTGCCTGATGACTTTGAAGAGTTCAAAAAATGGATGGAAAAGATCTGGATCGAAAAAGACGAACTTGTTGACTACTTCAATGAAAACAAAAAATTCCCAGGTAATGAGAAACAATTACCGTTCACATTCAAATGGGCGGATTTCACGGGGTATATGGAACCGGGGTGTTTTGATAAACCATAACAATTATTATTATTTTTTTTAACAAAGACTTGGTCATATCAAAGTTAAAACTATATTTTATATCATTTAATGATTTAATAATTAATTTTAATTAATAACCATTAATAATTACAATTGTTTTATAATTCTGTAATATATGTTTTTGATATTGTAAACTTTAAAAATATTTTTGTTTGTTTGTTTCAAAAAAAACAAATAAAAACACGAATACAAATTGGTATTTTTATTTATATTATACATTTAGGTATAAAATACAATTAAAATGTGGTCACTTATTATTAATTTCAAATTTTTAAAATTATCGAGTCAACACAAACAGAATCTCATTAAAAAAGCTCGATTAATTTTCTTATTTGAAATAGCCAACGTTTCACAAAACTTAACAGTTGTCTATTATATTATTTTAAATTAAAAGGAATTAAGTTCTGGTACAGTTCAATAGTTATTGTTTGATCAATGATTACAAAGACCAGTTCAATACCAAAAATACTCTTCATTATCTTCAAATATTAAACCACTCCAAAATTACACTTAGATATTGTCCAATTCATACGTCTTGCTCATCACAAATAATTTATTATTCGAATTACAGTAAAAATAATAACAACACAGTACTTAAGTTTACTTTGAATAATTATAATTCATATTGTACATTTATCGTATAAAAACAATGGGTATAAAATTGACTCAACAACACATAAAACATATTTTTTTAAAAATAAGAAGAAAAACTTTTTGTTAACTTGTTTTTCTTGACTATTTTTTTAAAAGTTATAATAAAACATGAATAAAACATTAAGTTTTGAATGATATACCGGTAATAACCAAATATAGATTGTTACATTCAGACTCAAATAACTATAATAAAATAATATATTATTAAAAAAATATACACTTTTATAATACTTTAAAACTTCGAAACTTTAAAAATATAATAAAAGAGTAGTTTTCGAACTATGCATTATTGCTATTCCAACTATGTTTTTTAACTTCAATCAACAAAATTTCGATAATCCAAAAATACACTCCAAAATGGTTTACTGACCCAAGTCCCTTCATTCACGCCAAAAATGTCTAAGGTTTTTCTTCGAAAACAACTCGTTTTTTATGCGCATCTGTTAATTGTATTATCTGATGTATACAACAAGTCCAATCGACCTCGCATTCAATTTCAGGGCTGATATGATCAACTGGGAAATCGTTGACGCGCCCACACATTCTTCATTTCTCCATACCCAATCTTATTTGAAACGAACGGAGAATTCTATCAAGACGCGGTCGGTTTGTTTGTTACCGCACACAGCTGACCGGGTTTCTTCCATCTTCTACGACACACCAAAACTCATTTCACTCTTCCCAAACGTTTCAGATTTTTGCGCTGAGCCAGATGGATCGTTTTGCATCAACTTTTTCATCACATCGATCAATCAAGTGTTCTCGACAAGGTTCAAATCACAGTCATTTCAATTCAGTCCACTCGAGGGTATCACTATCCACAACGAAACAAGTATTTTAATTGAGCACAATTATTACTTCAGACAAGACGAGAACACGACAAATACTTTGGTCATCATCGAAACGGTATTTCCAAACCAGTACAAAGTGCATAAGGTATTAATGCACCACTCGCTGAACGCGTGCGAAGAGGCAATAAACAACTTATTTTTTCTTCTTGAAAATAATCAGTCGGTCATTCAAATTAACGAGATCAAGCGTGAGTTAATCCGTAAGTGTGTTCACAAAGACTATTTAACAAATATCCTCCATAAGTCGCCATCTTTCACCGCCTACACGACAAAAAGTATTAACGAAGTGATGATCATTGGGTGTGGGAATTTTTGTGATTTCAAACAGGCGATGTCAGCGTTACCGAAGTTGGTGGTCAACGAACCATTTTTCACTTCATCAATTTTAGTTCAACAGGAGGACAGTGTTTTAGGACCAAAATGGTTTCATAAAGAGAGCGTGTTTTTTGGTGAAATTCCAAGTGTAGTTGATGTCAAATATAGTGGATTAATAAGTGAACGGAATATGTTCTTCTGTTGTGCGTCTGGTGTACGGCGAAAGAATTGTGTTGAAGCGCACAATCCGGGGTGTGCATTTTCTTATGTGTTAGGAGCGGAGTGGGTTGAAAGTGTTGGACAAAAAGCAGTGTCGGTGTATTGCTTTCATTTTTTCATTCCTAAATTAGAATCGCAAGAACACCAATTACGAAAATTAGTGTTAACACATATTTTAGATCGCGTGATATTGACTCGCTATGTCATTGAAAGTTGTGGGATCGTCAAAGTAAACGAAATTTTTGTCAACAACAAACAACTCCCAAAAACACAGCACTCGCCACGCGAATTCCTTTTCGACTTATCTCAAAAAATTTTGCAGAACAACATGTTGCTGAAGAAAAATGTGAATCGGATGCGAACACTTCTTAAAGAAAAAAGAAGACATGTGGCGACTAAAGGGAGATCCGGAGACTTCAATTTGTTCGCACTCCCAGAGAAAATACTTCACAAAATACTCACCTTTCTTCCTTTGGAGGATTTGGTCGTTCTTTTAGCGGTGAGTAAGAGGTTTGTGTTCACATCAACTTTTTCATGTCGAGACCACTGTCTTTCATAATAAAAAGGAATAACTTGATAGAATGCACCTCTACGTTATGAACTCATTAGACCTCTGGCAAACATTCTACGACCTTTATTTCAACGCACTGACTTTCAAAAAGTTTAACTTGATAACACCACTGACACACCCTGAACCGTGTGATTACCATTACTTAGTTAAGACTTCTAAAATGCTTCAGTTCAATTGGAAGAACCAAATCAGTCTAAAAAAGTCGCGGATTGTACTGTTTGATAAAAGTCCAGTTGATTATATCAAGCCGACTCCTTGTGGAATGAGTATAATGGGCAGCTCGTGTGGTAAGTGTTGTCAAGTGGCGCACCCAACCAACTTGAAAACGCGCGAAGTGCTTGTTGGTGACAAAATAGTGTCACTTGAGTTGTACACTGAAATGGATAAATCGCTCATGTTCATGTTATTGAACAGTGGCGCAATTCGAGTCTACGTTGTTGGTAGTGATGATTATTCCACTATCACCACAGACAAGTTCGAGTACGCCTGTTCCATCCCACAACACCAATTTTGTTATTGGGACAAATCCGGGACTGTCTCCCTCTGCGACTTAGACACTGGAAAATGCAAATTTAAGTTCCAAACAGGATCTCAAGAACAACTTCATGTCGATGAAATGGCACCGGATTTATTAGTCCTTTCTTCGACCGATAAGTGTTTGAAAGGTTTTGATTTGCGGTCCAATCGAGTCGTATTCAACAATTCGACGTTTGGAGGGTACATCACTACTTTCGATGGATTTGATAATTACATAGTGTGTGGGGGTACTGATGGCATTTTAACAATGCTCGATATGAGGACAAACCAACTCTGTTTGGACCGTTGTATACACCAAAGTGCGATCAATGTTGTAAAGTGTTGGAACAGAAAGATACTGACTGGTGGCGAAGATAAAGGCTTGTGCTATTTCGACTGTAGTCAGGGGTGGTTTGGTAACTACCGAACGCTCTATAGACACCAAGATGAGGTCACGTCGATAGTCTTTGACGACCAAATCCTGATGACTGGGAGTCGTGACGGTATATTGTATTATACTGATTTTTCTGTTTTTAATTGATTGTGTTATAGTCTCCAACGTTCTTCAAAACAGTGAATTAATTGTATGAAAAAGTAGTGCATTCTCACACGGCTGTGATAGCTCGATTTTTTTTGCTTGATTCCAACTCGTCTTCTTCACCGAGTTTGATGCGTTCACAGTTGACATTACACGTGTGTTCCGAAAATGCAGTGGTTTTCGTTCTTTCAAAATTTCGGTTCACTAACATGAATTTGAATAATGAGGTATGGAGTACAGAACACTCCTCTATTTGATATTCACTATGTCCTTCACTCTCAATCACTCCAACGGTTTTCAAATCAACAATTAATTGGTCTTGACTCGCTTTTTGTGAAAAGTGCTTGAAACACTCTAACGTCAGACTCTGACTGATGTCGCTCAACACTTTCGTTGTACTTATCCGTTCTTCTAAATACATTCTCTTGTACCCTTTGATTCGTTTGAACACTTCGCTTTTGGGATACATCCACTCTTCTTCCCTAAATATAGAACACGTAAAATCCTCAACAAATATACTCCGCTGACCAACGTGAATCGGTTTCCCTCCAAACTTTTTACTCTCCTCGTTGAACAACCACACTAAGTAACACACCAACCCTCGCTGTTCCATTTCGCTAAACATCGTATCCTTTTCTTCCATCGCTTCTTCATTCTCCGATAACAAAACACCAGTCTTTTTATCGAAAAAACAGTCGTACTCTGCAAGTCTATCATTTTCACCATATCTCGAGCACTTTTTGTACACAGCTATACTAACTGGAGTAACTACAAAATGTGTCGGCGTGTTTTCGCATCCAAAAGGATGTGTCTCCCAATAATCTGTGGGTATGTCGATTCGGAATCCCTTCTTCTCGATTCGCTCGCCTTTGTCTTTGGGAATTTTTCTAGGTGGCAATGTTGATATTCCAGCGACAACCTTCGCGCCGAGTTTCTCGTGTATATATGCGACTTGTTTGTATAAATGTGGTTTTGTAAGTAAAATTGATAAAAACACCTCTGGTGGTCTAAGAAGTGGAAGGATACTCGTGACAAAAGTGTCTGGGAGTTCATGTGTAAAGTTTCTGTTTTTAGTCAATACAAGTAACACGTTCTTCTTTAGCGATTTGATGTTCATTTTGATTCGATTTGTGAAGAGAAGTAATACCTTAGCCAATGATATATTGTCCTGTTGTGTTTGAAACGTGTTTGTCATAGCCGTTGGCTTCTCTGTGTTTTGAAAGAAATCTGGTGTGAACGTTTTTAAAGCGTCCTCTTTGCCCAAAGCGTTTGTCTTAAAAATGCGTGTGGAGAAGTAGACCAAAGTGATTTGGACAATGTCTGGAAGCGCCTCAATCATAGAAGAAAATTGAGGGAAGTACCCATCGCAAATGATCACCAAATCGCTTGTTACATCCAGTGGAATAAGTGTCTCAAAATTTACGATTTCACCAAACCTACCAATCGTAGATATTCGATCTGACATTTTTGTTATTTCGTCCAAGCGCACATTCTGTTGACTCTTCATACTTTTTGATTCGTATGGATTTTGAGTTAAGTGTAATGACGTTTTCTTTATAACTTTTATTGAATTATAAATGATTTATTAATTATTGTAAAAGTATTATATAGAATATTATTTTAATTATTTTTATCATACAATTAAAATATTTTATTTCCAATGATTTTAACTTGAATATTTTTTTTTAATTTTTGTTTTTTCTTATTATTTTTATTATTAAAAATAATTATTAAAACCATTTGAATTAACCGAAACTATATTTTTGAAACTACTAATAAAATTATTAACTTTATACCATTAATTATGTATTAACTATAAAATAATACCCATTTATTAGAAGTTTAGTTTATTTGCAATAGAATAATTAATAGTTAATTTATAATAGTTAAAATACATATTTTCCCAAAAGTTTTCGTTTGAATTCTATTTATAAAAAAGGATTCAATCTTTGATTAAATTTTGAATACATTTGTCTAGTTTTGTAAACTTAAGAAAATAATTCTTTTAATTTTAAAAGAAGAGATATTTCTATGCTTTTTTAAAATAAAAATACAAGCAATTAAAATACAATTACAATCAAAATCTTTTATCGCCAATGAACTATGGCAATGAAAAACCAATTTTTCCATAATAAAAAGAAGCGAAAAACCTAATTGGCGTGTCTTTGGTTAATTAAAGTGAAATGAAAATAGAAAGAAACTATTAACTTGAAAAGAATTGTATTACAACACAATGATCAGACCAGCCAAGGCGCTCCGGACTCGTTCACAGATTATTGGTAAAAATGAAATCAAGGTGATGGTCGTTGGTAGTGCGAAGTGTGGAAAGACGACAATTTGTAACACGTTTTTTGAAACCACGAGTTCTGACACTACTGCTGAGGCTGTTGTTTGTTTCTCATTTCATCAAGTGACCATTTCGTCGCAACAATAATACAACGGATGTGTTTTGAAGAAATAAAAAATAGAGAGAACGGTATGTGCAAATCGACGAAGAAATGATACGAGTGGTTGTGAGTGATATAGTTGGGAAGCAAATGTTTTATGCGTCGGACAATCCATACACAAATTATGATGTTATCATCGTCGTGTTTGACATCACTGATTTGAAGTCGTTTACTGATGTCAAGTCGATGTGGTTGCCTGATATTTCCGCGTATTCCAACATCGACACGGAAGTTGTTTTAGTTGGAAATAAGAAGGATTTGGATGTCGATAGAATCACTCCATACAAAACAGCTCAAGAATATGCTGATGAACACTTGTGTCAGTATTATGAAGTGACTAAAGAAGACACGTCGTGTAGTTTATTATTCGATTGTATTGCTCGAGACTATTTAGTGTCGTTTGTGTTTATAACGCATGAGTAAATTAATAATAATACAATCTAACAAATAACATTAAGAGATGTTAAAATGCGAGTGCTTGTGATGGGCGACACAGGCGTTGGGAAAACGACTTTTATCAGAAAAGTTACTTATAAAGAACCACAAGGTCACGATTTTAAAACACTTGTTTGTTACAACACAGTCATTAGTGTAATGTGATCGATCATAGAAATAACAACGAAGGTAAGTTCGCGATTTGAAATGGAAAAATTGAAGTATCTGATCCACTTGTTTGATTACTCATTTTACAAAAATTTGTTATTGTCATTCCCCACACTTTCGAGAACAATCGAAGGGATGGTGATCCTCTTCGATTTGACGAACGAAGAAAGTTTCCAGAATGTCCACAGAATACACTTTTTGAACTTAAGTGCTTTCACAGATGTCACTGGGATCTTAATTGGATACAAATCCGATTTGACAAAGGAGCGAGTCGTCAAGGAGAGTGACGCACAAACACTGGCGGAGTGGATGAATTTCACATATATGGAACTCTCTCAAAATGAGACAACAGACCATTCACAAGCTATAAAGGCGCTTGCTCATGCAGTTCGTATCAATCGACTGTCCATTGAACAATCTCTTTAATTCTTTATTTAAATTCGTAATGTTCTTGTGGGTTGCTGTTCTTTATTCTAATAGATTCAAATATTACAATTTTACTATATAATTATTATAGATATAGAAATCATAAACTAATAAGGATTAGTTTATGATTCTATACATTGAAGTATATTTGGAAAATCTCTTTCAAGCCAAGATGCTCTTGTAGACATCTTCTCAATCCCTTGTTTAATGCAATTTTCAGACCCTTCACACTTGTGGTCTTCAAAGAATTTCATGAAGAAATTGACACGGTCACGAGTCGAATATTTCCCTAACATAGAATTCAATATACATTTCCGAATTGATGACATTCCACCACCATATTTCTTGTTGATATCGTTGATGTGGGTGATGACATAATCTGTAGGCAATTCACTCTCTCCACTAAACAGTTCTGCAAAAGCAAATCCAACGTCTTGTTGCCTCACCGTCGATTCGATGAAACTGAGTGCTTTTTTAATAAGTTCTTCGTTTTTGGTCGATGCAATAGCTTTCAACGCAACTCGACGAATTTCAACGGTCTCTCCAGTCGTGTAAAGTTGACACAATTTAGAAAATACAACATCGTCCCCATATCTACCTGCAATATAACAAGTCGGTAAAATTAATTCACCAGACAATCTTCCTATTTCATTGTTCAAGACACTTCGACTTGCGTTGTTGTAGAATTCTTTTCGTTTGAATAAAGCGACACAACAAGAGCGCAAGGATGTGGCTTCACTTGACTCTCCCAATTGGACGTTGTAACCCAATTCACTATAAATTGGAAACAACAGTCGTTTCATTTGTTGTCTGATGTATCGTTTGACTCGAGAATCTTTAAAAACAGTTTTTAACTCACTGAAATGTTTTAAAATACATCTTGAGAGTTGATACGTTTCGACTGTAATTGGATCGATCTGTCGAATAAAACTGAGGTACTGCGTTGAGGACAAAACGCCCAATTTTCCAAGTGTAAATAAATCGTCACATAAAGTCAGTACTTCCAAATGTGATATTTTAGTCTTTTCGAGAAGAGTAATTAAGTCGTCAGAATACTTCACTCTATAAAATCCACTTGATTTAGCATTAGCAATTACATAGGGATATTGCCATTCAATAACCGATTTTTTGTCTTTAAAAATGTATTTTACAACTTTGTTCTCATACGACAAGATCATTGGTATTTGCCAGATTTGATCACTTAATACTCCACACCTCTCTTGTTCTAAGTATAGTTTACCTCTCTCTAAACGAACACTGACCATTGGAAACCCAGAAGCGTATGTCCATTCCTGTACAACTTCTTTCAAATCAATTCCACACACATTTCCAACACAATCCCACATGTCATCGCTTGTCGCATTTTGATATAAAAATTTGTTAAGATAGGCAGTTACCCCATTCATAAAGGAGTCAAATCCAACATAATTCACTATCATATTTATCAATGCACTTCCTTTGTTGTAACTTATCAAGTCGAAGACTTGTTGTACGTCACTTGCTTTATCAACTTTAATACAAATGGGATGGGTGTTGATACTTCCATCAGACTCAAGCGCAGGTATTAAAGACTCAACTACATTTGCTGCTTCCATTCTCCATTCGGGAAACAAGGTGGAAACACCAAATAAAGTGCCAACGTAACTTGCAAATCCCTCATTCAACCAAATGTCATCCCACCACTTCATCGTCACCAAATCACCAAACCACATATGGGCTAACTCATGGCACACAACACTTGCTGACCGCTTTTTGGCCTGTGTTGATGCGTTTTCTTTTAAACAAACTTCGGTCTCTCGCGAAGTTATTATACCCCAATTTTCCATCGCGCCACACTCAAAGTCAGGAAGAGCAACCCAATCACACTTTGTGAGTGGATATCTAATTTTGAACTGAGACTCATAAAGCGACAAACACTTATCCATTACTTCAAGAGCAAAGCGGGAGATGTTTTTGTGATTCCGGGCAAAATGCAGACCAAGCTGGATGCCATTTTTACCAACTTTTGTGTAACTTGTGAACTCTCCGGTGACAAAAGCTAATATATAAGTCGACATCTTTGGTGTTGTCTCGAAAGTCACTTTCTTTGTTTGTTCAGTTAATTCGACTGACTTTATTGGCATATTTGAAAAACAATCATCTGTTGGAGGTACCTCTAAGATGATTGAAAAAGTTGCTTTATAATTTGGTTCATCCAAACATGGGAAAACACGACGTGCAGAAGACGGACAGAACTGAGTGCAACAAATGACCTTTTCCTTACCGTTGAATGTATATTTCGATTGATAAAATCCACACAACTCGTCATCTGGAAGTCTTCCTTCATATTGAATTGTCACCTGGTGTTCCCCCAAATTAAACTTGTTGTTTGAAGTCAGTGTTATTTGCTCATAAGTAGGGTTCTCTGTAATTTTTAAATGATCACATTCTTCTTGTAATACAGCACATATATTATTTAAATTGACGGCGTTCATCACTATTACATTTGTTCCTGTTGTGCACAATAGTGTCAAGACTGTCTTTCCGATAAATTTTCTTTGCGATGGATATGGTTTAATAAATACTTCATAATGTAATGGGACAAAGTTAGTTGGAAGCAATTGAGACATTTTGAGGATTTGTTTTCTAGTTCATGATCTATTATAATACTAGTTAATATATTTGTTTCACATATAAATTAATAAACTATAAAATATTAACTATAAAAAAAGATTTTATTATAAAAAATATCTACAAATAATATCGAAATAAAAATATATTTTAAAAATTTTTAATTTAATTTTAATGACACAAAAAACAAAGCAAATTATTTCGATTCCGATATAATTTTATTTTATAACAAATCTTCCAAACAACATAAAACTATAATTAAACTATGAAAAAAACAATACAAATACAACAGAGTATAGTCAAAAAGGCACCACGTTAGAGACTGCGTGGCACTTTTTAAAAATAGTTTGAAGGGTTATTTAAAGTCAAAAACGAAGTTAGTCTGTGTCTGATGTCTACCTTTGTAAGTCAGTCATCGTTCTTGGACTGTTCCGACACACAGACAAACACATTTAATGTGTATGAAAGCCAAAACTACTACTTATTATCACTCTCATTACCAAACATTCTTACATCGACTCTTCAAGTGAAGTATATGAACAATTGGGTTGTTGTTAAAGCGTCTTTACTTTTGAGCTCAAACGCACCGAAGTTCGTCTCACAGTTTCCGCTCCCAACAAATGCGGATGGGTCACATTTACGAGCAAAGCTTCAGGGCGATGTTCTAGCAATTGTTGTGCCTAAGAAACAGACATATTGCACTGAGGTTGACATTATTTCTTTCTAATTTGTATTTCGTTATTACATCTTACTGGTTATATACTATAACAAATTGTGTCATGATGAAAAGCGAAGTCAATTCATTTCATTGGCAAACTGTTGGAGAATTGTTTCGAATATCCTTTTGTGCCCTTCATAACTTGGATGTCCATAAACACCCCAACACTCTTGATCTTTCTGTGTATAGCAAAGTTGGCAATTCAGTTCAACAACTCGCTTTCCATATTTTCGATTGATTGACTTGATTGCGCTCTGCCACGCAATTTCCCCCTCACGTGGGAGTATAGGGCCAAGCTCGACAAAGATCGTTGAAGTCTTGTACACACTAAGGAGTTTCTCTAAAAATAGAATGCAGTGCTCAGCAAAGACTTCGTCCAAGTCGCTTTCGTCGTTAGAAACAAAGAAGTCTATTATCGTCTTTTCATGCCCTTCGTGCGTCCATTGTTCGACTTGTTTGCGAACTTCTTTCTTCTCGATTGCACTGTCAACACGAGGAAGTGGTGTTATGACCTTTGTTTCCTTCTCATAGAAATGAACTTCTTTCTCTCTTTTAATTGCTTTTGGCTTAATGTAGGCGGGTGGAACAAGACTCTCATCAACAACATTGGCTACAACGTCCCAAAAGTCGTTCATTCCAAATGACAGAAGAACGTAATCTGGAATCCATTCTTTGTGGTCATACACAGACGTGTCACCGCCTGCGCACTCTCTGCTCCACAAAATTGGAAGGTTGAATTTCTCATTTGGAAATTCGATTTCTTTATAACTTCTCACAAGTCCAATACCACTATACGCGATTGTTCGAGTCGATAATTCAAATTTGTCGGCGAGTTGAGCTGCAAAAGTTGAAGTTGAGTCCGATTGGTATGGGACTGATGTGCACCCTTCGACTGGGAATATACCATATCCACACATCATTGAGTCTCCAATGATTTCCATTGTTTTCTGTTTTGTTCTTTCAATGGGTGGGAGTTTAATGTTTGATCCAAAGAATGATAAAGCCCCATCCCTAGCCTCTGTTATCTTTATAAGTGAAATTCGGACCAATCTATCTGTTCTATTTGTTAAGGTAATTGTTATAAAAGAGTTTTCAAAAGCAAGTGTATTGTTAATGAGTTCTTCTGGCACTGGGTGTATTGGTTCTGTTCTTGTTATCACCAACAATTCTTTAGTCTTGATTTTGATCAAATTCACTCCTTGTGATTTGAAGTATAGCACCAAAGTGCCTTGAGGACAGTTAAACTCAAACGAAGACGATGGCCAATCAAATGACATGCTTTTCTCTGTTTTTGTATAACGGCAGTTAAACAAGATGTTTTCAAAACACAAGTCAACAGGTATGTCAAGTGTTGTACTTTGTTGATACGTGACTTCCATTGAAAAATAGTTCAGTTGTATTCTATTTTGAATATAAAAATGGCTGTTCACATTCACAAATTTTTAATACTTTTGTATTGTTATTATTTAATTAATATACAATATATATATATATTGTATCTATTATATTAATAAACAATATCTTGGAAAAACAGTTTACTATTAATGAATAATAAACTGAATTATATAAAATAATATAGTTGATTAATGAAATTTTGTTAACACTAAAAAATTTAAAAAGTAATAAAAAAAAACAATTTTTTTAATAAATCGGGAAATTGTACCTAAACTATTTTTCTAATTGAATATTACAGAGTCGATCTTTAAATATAAATCAAATGGTTGAACTACTTGTCAACCCCACTGAAGGCGACCAGTATGTTATTGCTCCGTTTATTTACACGACGTACTTTGCTGTTGTTGTTCTCTTTTTTATTTTTAAATTTCGCACTCAAAAGGTCAACATGCATTATGTAATTGTGATTCTGGCTTTTTTCATTCAGTCGTTTTGTTTGTTGTGTTGAGTAAGAAATGGATTCTGACACGTAGCCGTGTCGGTGAGTTCTATCATGCAAATGTACCAAAAAACGATGTGTATACCATACCTCTTTTCTCGATTGGTGTATATTTGTGACTTCTTTTTGATCAGTTTCACCCTCTTTTATTGGGCGCATGACTTCACTAATCGCGAGGCTCGAGTCGTTAACATTTTGTATTTAGGAATAGCTCTTGCTATTCTCAATAGTGTTTTTATTGTGTGTGTTTTAGTGGCGTTTTTCATGTTTGCTGCTCTTGGAAACAATTGTCAGAGCAACAACGGATACGTCGAAATGTTGAACACTTGGATTTCTGTTGGGTGTTTGTTACTATCTTATTTTTTTAGTGTGAAAAGGATTCAATCATAGCAAACATGGTTCTTGTCATCTTCGAGTGTGTCTTTGGAATTATTATATTTTGGAGATACAAATACCAGGTCTCACACTTCACATCTTCAGACTCCAAAAAATCATTTTACATCTATTTCTTCGCAACTGCGTTTCTTATCGGTGAGAACTTACTTCGATTTGTTGCTCATCTCTACTACCCCATCACGGGAAAATACTTGAACGATGTCTTTTACCAATCTTTGATCCATTGGATTCCTGATGGTGTCGAGTGCTTCACCTTATGTTTGTTGTCTATGTGTTTATAGAATTACCATTTATAGTAAAAAATACTATATTTATTCCACAACACATTTCTATTTTAAAATACTATTACAGTCTAATTTGATAATAATAAATTATTAACTAAGAGTGCTATTGTGGTCCCTAGATCGTATGTCTTCACAGTTCAATCAGTCCTTTGAAAACACAATGTTTAAGAATGCTGAAATGATACAGGAAAATATTCTACAGCGTGTGGTGGGGGAGTTTTACCTTGATGGACATCGCTCCTATCAACGAAGCAGGTATTCTACGACTAGCAGGCATTCAGTGACCCAAGGAATTTTACTGAAGTTGGAATGAGTCAAATTGTAATCGAACTGTTGTGTAGATAATTTTCAATTCTGTTACTGTAGCATAACAATTTGTCGACTAGAAAATGTTATAAAAAACAAAAAAGGTGCTTTGCTTTCTTTCGAACGTTTGAAATCCTGAAATATAAAAATAGTGTCTTGAAAAATTTCAAGTTTCATGTCCACAGGCGTGAGCAAACAACCCAGAACAGTGCGGAGGGATTCCCGCTCGACAGTGAGTAATTCGACGGATTGGTCCGGGATGTCCGGTACAGATGGGTTAATTGAGGAACAAAGTTATTACCCAGACCCCAATTACTCGACTCTTTTCGATCACCCTGATACCCCTGAGTACATCACATATACAACAGAGGCGGGGTGTGACTTCAAAATTATACAAATGGCGACACTTGAGAAGTGTCTCCAGACGATGTTCTCGAAAAGTTTTAATGATGGATACTTCCAAGAGTGTTTCATCTTAGCGTATCGTTTGGTGACAACACCAGAAAGGTTATTAGATTTAATAGGTATCTTATTTGATCCAGTTATACCCGAAGGAATGGACTGGGATACATTTGTGAAAGAAGTAGTGACGCCACTGCGACTGAAAATCATGAACTTTGTGAGGACTTGGCTGAAGAACGCGTGGAAAGACTTTGAAGGAAAAGACGAACTCATCGACAAACTTCAGCAGTTGATAGAAAGGTTCAAACAGTTTTCATCGAAAATGGGAACTAATATTAATAAGCAATTAGAACTTAAAATTGCCCACGTCGAAGCAAAAAGTGAGGAGTCTTCTATGCCTGGGATCAAAATAACACAACTGGAGAAGAATGAGAAGTATGTGAATGTCCTCCAATACCACCCGGCTGAATTTGCACGACAAATCTCTTATTTGCAAAACAACATATTCAGGAAGATCCCATATTATGAATTCTTGGGGAATGGGTGGACCAAGAAAGACAAAGAAACATTGACACCACAAATCATGCGACTAGTTCACTCAACTCAAAGACTGTTTGGGTACGTCCAAACAACGATTCTTGCAGTCAACGACGTCTCAAAACGTGCTATTTTACTCCACTACTTTTTGGTAGTCGCCGATGAAATGCGTAAATTGAATAACTTTGAAGGGATGAAGGCCGTGTATTCTGCACTGATGTCAACACCAATTTTCAGACTGAAAGATACTTGGGACTCGATCACAACAGAAGACAAAGAGATTAATGGGCGCTTGAGTGAATTGTGTGACCAAGCCAAAAACTTTAGTAAGTTACGAGAAGTGATGAAAATAGCCGTGTCACCATGTATCCCATTTTTGGGGAGTACAATGGGCGACTTAGTCTTTGCAGACGACGGAAATAAAAGAGTTGGAGAAGACAAATTGCTCATCAACTGGTTCAAAGTGCGACAGATTGGAAATTTGATCAAAGAAATCATGGTGAAACAGGCGGTTGCATACCCATTTAGAAAATATGATTCATTGGTCGAGTATTACAGTGGAGCGCCTGTGCTTGAAGACGAGGAACAGATGTATGACTTGTCTGTGTCACTCGAGGAGAAGCGTGGGGAGATGAATTCCGACCTCGAGAAGAAGATATCCAAACTCAAAAAGGATGGTCACGCAGCCGTCAAGAAGTACGTCAAATTTTATTCAAAAGCAGACGGATCGAAGTGAATTATCTAAATGAGCACTTTTTAAGGATTTTAATATTTTTTTAACACCACTGCTTTTTTTGTTTTATTCAAAAAAAATGTTGATTGTCTTATGTAAATACTACAACAATATGGTCACTCTGCCTTATATAAAACTTTGTGTTATCTAAGACTTTTATTTATAAATATTAGTTCATAAAAACTATTCAAATATATAAAAACTGAATTTGATTTTGGTGTTTTTGGTTTGTTATTATCGAACTATATAATAATTTATTTTAATTATAAATTAACTATAATAGTCTTGCATAAAGCAAAGTTTTACATAAAGTAGAGTGACCATATTGTAATTGTTTTTATCTACTTTTGATGTAATATAAAATCGTTTGAAACTATAAATGTGTAAAAAAAATAAAAGTCACTCTGAAATATGTAAAATTAATAAAGTTTGAAATAAATTAATAAAAATTATTTTAATAACCAAAAATAAAAAAAGTTTTTGTGTTTTTGGTTTGGGTTTTTTATAATTATAATATAATTTCTCTTAATCAAAATTTAACTATAAAAGTGAAACTATTTAATTTCATTATCATCAAAATTATAATAATTTATTTGTCGCGAATATTTATTTATTTAAAAAAGTCATTTTGTTAGCAAGTGTTTGTGTGATATTGTCACAACAATATCACTTTTATTCATTGTTTTTGATCTACTGAAGAGATCCGAGTCAAAAGAAGATATGGAAAATGGGTGAAACGATGACACAAAATAATTGTTTAATTATGCACATTTTTTAAAAATGGTGGTCAATGTCGGTAAAATTATTCCGTCAGTCAAAGCAAATATGTTGTGTATAAAAATTTATTGTTTTGAATATCTTAATTTGGCATTTACTTGTTGATTTGTTTTTTTTTGGATTTTTAATTGCTAAATTTGATAACAATTTAGCATCTGTGAATAGAGTTACTTGTCGTTGTATTGAAAAAATAAATGTTATAATAAAATGAACTTTATATAAAAGTCGTGTTAACAATTAAAAATCTAACTTTCTAAAAAAGAGTTAAATTTGGACTGGAAAAAATCGAGAAATTAATCGAAATAATCAACAGAAACAGGGATAATAGACATTTAAATTAGTGCTGGGTTTTTGGCCCGTTCATAAAACTCCGAGGTGTGATTTTCATTCTTAAAAGTGAGGGAAAAGACTTCAAAATCAGCGTGGCAAGTATTGGGTGAAACGACTGAGGAAGAGTCATCACCTGTTGGAGTTGGGAAAAGTTCATCTTTATAGCATTTTTTAGTAACATTAGTGGTAGTTGAGACACACCGGACCTTATTAACATGTGAGTATGATGTTGGTAAAAGGACTGGTTGATATTCCTTATTCATAGTTGAACAAATTGAATAACTAGGTCATCTTTTGAATCAAAAAGATGCTTTGTATATGTTTTATGGATTTCTTTATTGAAATAATACCTTTTTCAAAACATCGAGGAATTGTGAGCAAATAAAAGAACATGGTATTATTTTACAGGAAAACATATAATTTTAATATTTGTTATCGGTAATATTTTCTTGTGGTAAAAAAAAGACGACATTTTTTAATATAAAATGTATGTGAAAAAAAAAAGAGTTGCCGGTTTTCCAAAAGTCGTTCAAAGTAGTTGGTGATGATTTCGCTTTAAATGTTGTTTTATTATAGTTTATAATAAAATGATCGAAATAAAGCATGACATTTCACCGTTTATTCTATTCTTGTTTGTGTTATTCCACTTTATTTCTTATACTTTTTTATCCCGACAAATCACACATAATAGTGTGTTATATTGTTGTTTTTTATAGTAAAAATCGACTTTTGTTTTTAACGGTCTCATTATTTATTATAGCATTTTGGTGAATAAAAAATAAAAGAAGTGAATAATTAAGATATTTAAAGATATTAGATATATCACCAATTTTGTGTTTAATAGGTAATATATTAAATTAAAAAAGATTAATAATTTTTAATAATATATATTAGTATATATATATGTATATAATAATGTTAAGTGAAAAATGATATTAAAAACAATAATTTTGTTAGTTTATATTTGTAAGAAATCATTATTTCCATATCTATAACCATATTTCAGGGTTTGCCAACTGAAAAGAAGTAACATTTTTATAGTTACAATTTCAATCAAAAACTTGAATTTATTTATCTTTTTTATTAAGAGATGATGTTTTAATCAACTTGTTTTGTTTTTTATCGGCTTTAGATATTAAATCCAATTTACTTGACATATTCACCCCAAAAATATATTTTTTTTTTCTATTTATGTAACTAATTTTAAAATATATACAAATTTTTGTTAATTTTTTTTAAATGTTGTAATATCAAAAAAAAACTAGGATATGTTTACTAAATAAACGGGAATAAAGATAAAAAAATATTTAGTAATAATTAGAAACAAAAGTTTTTTTAATTTTAAGACAAAATTTGTCCTTCTTAATGAATTACATCAGATTAAATATTCGGAAAATTTAAGGACAATTTAAGTTGTTGTTGGCAAATGTTCAGTCAAAAAAAATTTAAAACAAACCACACACATTTATCATTTTACTAATATTTGTTTTAAATTATCATTATTATAATTCAATAAACAAATATTGTACATTTTGTTTAAATAATAAGATAAATTTTAGAGAAATAAATTGATAATATCATAGTACAATATAATCAGTTTTCTGTGAAAAAAATATTTATTATTTTATTATAACAACAACAACTATTTTGGTATAAAACTAATATTATAATTATATATTACTATAAAAACTTTGAGGTCTAATTTCAATACAACTTTCTCAAAGACAGTTCCATTTCAACTCAACAATATTATTTGAAATTTCTTTTTATTCAAATACCTTTTTGAATAATAAAAAAACTATAAAAAACTATAATGCAATTAAATTACTTTTCTTTATAATATAAACGTAACTATAATTCCAGTTTATAGGCAGTTTCAAAATTATGTTTAAATAAATATACTTTTACTATATATTGTACATAAACAATAGTGATTAGAAATTATATCAATTAATATTAGTATTCCAAGTTCAAAAATGCTCTAAGAATTATCATTGCCTTATTTTCAAACAGAAATTTACTTTGTAAAAGGAGTCTTAAAAAACTTTATAGAACTGTAAAAGTATGCTTGTTCTTCTCTTCGTTGGGTTCACAATTGCCTTCCGGCCTAATCCCGCTTTTGGTCTGCACAACTTTGACGATGTTATTGTGACTTGGTGTGGCTCTCGTAATAACAATAACGAAAATCGGTTCAGAGCCTCTGGTATTTGCCAATTGCGCTCCAACGTTAACAACTATGCACAAACACTCTTAGAAACAGACGGATTTTCTTTTATTGTCGGAGACACAAAATACAGCGACCCGGTCCAATTTGAAGGTGCAAACACGATAGAATATCCAGGTGAATATTCTCATCGACTTGAAACATACAACGACGTCGAAATCCCGACTGTAAAACTAACTAAAAGATATATAGTAATTCCAACCAAGCCCTTTACCCTTGAAAAGTACGAAATAACAAATGAAGGAGATTCGGATATTGAAGTGAATGTCATGGACTATATCACATCCACTCAGACAGAACAGCCAGTGAAAGGTGGTATCATCGAAGGCACTTTCAGTCAATACTTTGACTATTCTGAAGACGCACTATTGACGAACATTTCTTTGATTATGGGCATGGTTGGTGCAAACACACAGACATTTAGTGATTTAAATGGGTCTTCTCCAATTACTGAGTTTGCCGAAGGGGGGAAGTTTGTGCAAGTGAAAGAAGCACAGGCAACCCAAATCATGTCTGCTTTCCAGAAGAATGTGACTGTCAAATCAAATTCGACGGAGAGTGTTATCGTTTATCGAATTGTCGTTCCAAGCAAAGAAATTGCTACTACTGGTGCCGAATTGGTGAAAGAAATTGAAGCCAAATCATATGATGAATGGAAGGACAACTTGAAAGTTTTCATGGACCTCCACACTGCAAATTATAGAGTTCCCAAATTTGAAAATTTAGACGAGGAAAAGATGTGGTACTCCTCTGTGCTTACTATGTTGTACTCCCAAAATCCAACGGTCGGTACTTTGGTTGCATCCTTCCACCCCCTGTATTACTACAAGACTTGGACCAGAGATGCCGCATACTCCGCAGCTATTTTGACAGCGATGGGAGAGTACAACGGAGCTGAAAAGTTCTTGAAATGGCTTGCAAAAGCGGAGCTCCGAGACGGTGGGTTCTTCGCAACTACATACAGCTGGTGGGATGGAACATATGTAGGGTTTGTTGAGCCACAATATGATTCTGTTGGTGTTGCTTTGTATGTGTATTACTATTACACACAAATGACACAAACAACTGGATTAATTAAGGACGAAACAGTCAAACAACGAATTAGAAAATTGGAGGATTTCTTGTTGTATAGAGATTGGAAAAATCTTATTAAGCCAGACTATTCGATTTGGGAGGAAAGCAGCGATGGATGGACTTCATTAAGTGTCCCACTGCAATATTATGGATTCACACAAATCCAAGGCCACCACGGATTGTTAGCGGCTGCTATGATTGAAGAGAAGTATTATAAAGATACTAAAAGAGCTGAATTGCTGAGAAAGAGAGCGCAGGACCTATCAACTTCATTTGAGAAATTGTTCTGGAATGAAGAGAAAGGATACTTTGTCCAAGCAATTTGGCAGGACAACAAAAAGCAGAAAGTGATCGTCGACACATCGACTGCGACTATGGCGTTCAGTGACATTGTAACTGATCAAATAAAGATCAAAAAGCACTTTGATAACATCAGAAAGTTCAACACCAAACTTGAATACGGCCTTGCAAGATATCCACAAGACTCATACTTCTATTCCTCAAAGTGGAATATTGGAGGAAAAGAAGCTGGTGAAGCAAGCCCACCATGGGGAGTTGTCACAATGTTTATGAGTTGGGCTGAATTGCTCTACGACGAATTCGACAATCATGCAAACGTAGTTAAAGAAAGATTGAATTGGATGATTAAACATACTGGAAACGATTATATGCCATGCGGAGAAGCTGTAGACGGAATCACTGGCGACCCGATTATGTCATCAATGCCTGATGTATACGAACACGCAGGTGTGTATATCATGACAGCGCTTCAGAATCAACAACTCGTCCCACTCTTTAATTATAAGAAGTGGTAATTTGGTAGTTTCGTAATTATTGTTATAACATTTGTTTTGATATAAAATAATAATATTAAAGTACTAAATAATATAAAATGGGAGGAGTCGACCGATACTCAATGATGATCATTGGAAAATACTTCGAAAGCGTCAAAGATTTCAAAGTTGTTATGATGGTTAGTCGAAAATTCAATTTGTTGAGCGAAATGTACCACTTCAATCCAGTACCTTTGACATCACTAAAGGAAAACAAATTGTTCCCAAACATCGAGACTTACCATCTCTACTCAAAGAGTGATTTTGACTTGGAATTTCCAAACAAGGTTATTCATTATTTAATGACTTACGAAGACGCAATTGGTCTTCCACAGAACATAGAGTGCACAAATGTTGCGTTTAGTCGAGAAGATGTCAAACTCTTTGGTGGTGAAATACCAACTTCAAAAGAGGTGCAGTCGTTGTCATCGTCATGTTTTAAGTCATCAACTGAACAGCGATGTGTCGTTCCACAAAACATTAAAGTGATTGGAGACGAGTGTTTTTCACTCTCTGGTAAACTCCACGCAATTTCACTGTCAAGCAATATAACTGTAATACCACAGAGATGCTTTTGGGGATGTCGGAGACTTAGTGCGATTGAAAATTGTCGTCAAATACTTGTTGTTAAGGATGAAGCGTTTTCAGAGTGTAACTCTCTTCGCGATATTTCCATTGAAAGTGTTGAAGCACTTGGTTATCACTCCTTTTATCAATGCAAAAAATTGACTTCTATTTCTTTCGGAAGCACACTTTCTTCACTTGGGTGTGGCTGTTTCTGTGAGTGCATTTCGCTTTCAGAAATCACTTTACCACTTAAAGTTACTGTGTTACCAAAGTCTTGTTTCGCTGACTGTTCGAATTTGCACACCATCAACGGGAACATCACAAAGTATGGCAGTGGTGCTTTGTACAACACTCAAATGAACCCAACTCCATTACTTCGTCTTGCGTTTCGAAAGGCATTTTGAGGATATTGTTGACATTTTGTTAAATACACGCCACCGTGTAATTCTTTTATTGTAATTAATAGTTGTTTAATCCTTAAAGTTATGGTAACAAAAGCTATTATAAATTAGAAGAAGAACTAGAATGTAAATGTGTAATTCATCAAGTAAAACTTCAAAACTAATGAACTAAATAACACAGTGAATATGTCAGTACACGGACTCTCTGATTTTGGACACGACGACGATGACGAGCCAAAGGGGACTGGTTTTTATAATAAAGGAGGAACGGAATTTTATGCAAACAATGACGGTGTTGAAGCGTACAAAAAGGCTACAGAAACTGCCTTAGATGGGAATGGTCATACGAAGAAAAACGCGAACAAAAACGACTTTGTAATAACTGTGGTTTTATATAAAAATGGGATTTCAGTCAACAATGGAGGGTTACAGTCGTACGCAGACAGCAAAGAGTTTTTACACGACATCACAGAAGGGTATGTACCTGAGAGATTTTCAGAAGAAGGAAAGAAGTATAATGTTACAACTAAAATCGTTGACTCGACCAAAGTTGCGTGTAGCGATAAAACAGCCGTGAAAATGACGACTTGTGGGTCTTCCTTTGTTGGCGAAGGAAAAACACTTGGAAAGGAAGTCGGTCAAAATTTCACCGCAATACCACGACAACTCAATGCAGACCTTTCTAAGCCGACTGCTAATATCAAAGTCAGATTTGTTGATGGGAAGTCTAAGGTTCTCAAAGTCAATTTAGATTGGTCACTTCAAAATGTTTACTCATTGATCGCACATGAAAGTGGGCTGACCACTTTCCACCTCAGAGCCCAAAACAGAGTCATTGAAATGAGTGCAACACTTGTTAGTGATGCGAAGATAGCGGGAACGTCGCTTATGCAGCACAAGTAAATTCATTGAGATGTTCTATTTATATTTTGTTTTAATAACAAATAAATTAATAACATATAGTAATAATTTGATGTCTAATTAAATATAGAACAATAACTATAGAATAAAAAATAATTATAAAATTGTATTTTTGGAAGAATCCAATCGATCCAAAAATGGACTCTAAATGTTACTCGGTTCCGATTTCGTTAAGTTGGTCAGTTAATCTCTTATTTCTTGAAGCGATTAAACATTGCAAGTCATCAGGGTTAATTCCAGCATCCAAATATTCACAATTCAGAGCCTCCTCTGCAACTTGTACAAAACCAGTGGAGATCTCATCGAATTTGGGACGTTCTGTTGTGGCCTGATTCCAACACTTTTGTATTATCGAGGACAATTTTAATGGCATCGTCTCGTCTATCGCAAGCCGCTTTCCGTTGGTGACATATTCTTTAATTTCAAATAGAGACTTAAAGTCGTTGTAGGGCTCTCGTTGATAAAAGACTTCCCATGCAGTGATGGCAAATGAATAGACGTCTCCAGCTGATGTATACACATCTTTAAAGGACTCTGGAGACGCGTATATCGGCGTTCCAAGACCCTTTTCACTAATACCTTTTCCTCTTTGAGTGAATCGTGATGTTCCAAAGTCAGTGATTTTGATGCAACAAGCAGACTCAGTGAATAAGGAATTGACAAGTAAATTGTCTGGCTTTAAGTCCAAGTGAAGAATTTGGTTTTCATGCAAAAATTGCATTCCCCTCGCCGTATCAAACAACATTCTGATTTTCAGTTTGTAAGGAAGTCGCATTCTGTTGTCCCCATTTTCTAGGCGCAAGTATTCTCCTAACGAGCCCAAAACAAAGAATTGTATAACCATTGAGACTTGGGGAAGATAAGTCACAGACCCCATATAATTTGCGATGAAAGGGTTGCGCAATTTACTCATCATATTACATTCTTGAATGACATTTTTCTTTAAGTCATCCATCTCTTCTTCCGTCAAATTGTCCCAATCGAATTGCTTGACGGCAACAGGAACACTTCTGTATTTCCCAATACAGATCTTGCCGTTCGCACCCTCGGCAAAAGCTTTCTCTGATACGTTTAACTCGTCCATGTCTAAATGTGTTGAACTTGCAGCGTCTGTTTGAATATTCAATTTGTAGTACGTGTGGTGTTGAACATTTTTACACAATTCTTGCATCGTTGCTTTGTCTTCAGTACTGAAAGTTTCAAACGTCTTGTCGAGAAGAACGTTTGCGATCTGCTGGAGCGTTTTTTTTGATTTACTAAACCACACAGTGAATGGAATTTTCATTTCTTTGACTTTTGTTGTGCATTTTAAAGTCATGTAAACGACACACTCTCTTGTCCCTAAACGGGGTGCTGCATATAAAACTTGTGGTTCAAAGTGAAACACATATTTTGGGTTATTTGGAGTATGGAATATGACCATCATATATTTGTTTTTCGAGTAATTCTTGATGTCCATACGCTCAAAGCGCGTCTCTCCAACATCAGTCACTGCATTTTCAGTACCAAAGTCCAAACTGAGTGGACGCACAATGTATTTGTTTTCTCGAGAGGGCATCTTTTGTGCTGCACCTTGAATGTAAAAGTGGTACGACGGTTGTTGTTTTTTTAGTGTATCAAAATCCACTCTTTTATTCTTTGTAACAATCCGAATAACAAAGATGAAGATGACAACTATAACTATAAGAACTAAAACTGCTCCTCCAACTACAGGAAGAACAACAGTCAAGATGTAATCTTTCCTTTTACATCCTCCGTAATTGTTTTTGTCCGCTTCAAATCCTTCTAAACAATAACAAAACTCATTGCAATTTGTGTTGTTATCGCACTAAATTGTTAATGTATTGTTTATATAATGTCATTTGAAGTTATAAATTATAATTATTAATTTAATTATTATAATTAATAGATAACAAACTTCTTCTGTTCGTATATAGCCATTTGCACCACTTATTTGATCCAAGACCCCATTGCCACATTTATCAGATACACATTGGCCGTTTTTGGCAGAAAACCCATAGTCAGTCATACATCTACATGTATGTAGGCACCCTTCACTTCCTCTAATACATTCTTCATCTTCTAATTTGGAATTAGACAAACATACATTTGACACACACTCTTCATTTTCAAGTGTATACCCCTCTTCACATCCACAATATTGATCACAATGCAAAGACCCAAATTTACATAAATTGGAGTGGTTCGGCACTTGCCATTGGCCATTATAATAACATTTCAAATGGCAATCATCACCCCCATATTTATCAGCACAGACACACTTCCCTTCGTCAGTGGAACAATACCCATGTTGTTCGGACATTCCACAATTGTTCGCACAAATCACTTTAAATACAACTTGGATGTCCGTGTTTGGTTCTTGTGTTTGTAAGTCTAAGTACCGAACTTCATTGTTAACGTTTTGTTCGATTTTTGTTTTAATTCCCATCCCAACACCAGCTTTGCTCTGTACGCCATATTCCTTCCCAACCCAAATGTTGTTGCACCTCCCGATGTTTGTGTCTGGGTCATCAACAACAAATTCCTGTAAATATATCAGTCTATTTTGTTTTTTGGTATCAATCAATAGCGAGTAATTTCCTTTAAAATTAACACCAAAGGTGATATAAGCTACCATAAGCGTTGGAGCGCAGAAGGAATACCCAAACTTACCATATCTCGTGAATGGAAATGTCACTTCTAATGTTTTTGTTTTTGAATTGAAAAGTTCTTCCATCTTTGCTTGATCGAAAGTGACTATTGGCACAAGACCGATTGTGTCATCTTTCACAACTTGAACAGTGAGTGTGACTTCCTCAGCACCTTCTATACTTATAAAGATATAAACCATTTTTTCAGTGTTTGATTCACTGAACAAAATTGGGACACGAAGAGAAGCTTCTAGTGTATCCCCGGGGATGTATATTCTCCCACCGCATTCACCCGAATCAGTGGACATCGACAAACTCGTCTCAATGTAAATTTTGTTTGTTGTCTTCTTCGACTTGATGACTTTAAAAATTGTGAATTCATACCCATCTTTCTCATAATCAGGAGCATGTAATTTGTACCATTGACCACTTCTATACCGGACTTTATTTGGGCAGATTCCTTTATAAACTGTTGTTGTCTTAGTAAGTGTAAGTGTCACAGACGACGTGTTTGTTAGTGTTTCAACGTGTGACGCAGATGGAAGCCAACTGCTTTCCTGAAGAATAACAGTAGATGCAGAAATACAGCCATCACTGGATGGGATGTAGAGTTGTGTTGTATTGCCGTCTGCAAAGTAAGGAACACACGTGAGACAAGAAGAATCTGTTTGGTCGTATCCAGTCTTACATGAAGATGAACACGTGTAATTGGCTATGCAAGTGCTCTGACACCCACTCGAGCATGTAAACTGTTCAACAAGAGTCTCCAAAGCGGACACCAAGCTCAATAACGTGACGAAACACAGGAAACCCATTCAATCTTTGTCTATTTTAGATCATCGGATTCAAAGTCGCATCCCAGTTTTTGTTGTTTAAACTTTTAACTTCATGGTCATTCGAAACACCCTATGCCGAATTTTGGATTATTCATATGTCAACTTTATATAAAATGGACATATCAACAATTATTTTTTCAATCATTTTGGTATTAACACTTTAAATAACATTGAACAAAATTCAAGTGGTCTAAAAATCGGGAAATCTCGAGTTTATTAAATAAATTTCCATTTTTTAGAGATTGTATTATGTGCATAAACAATACACAAGCCAAAAAAGGAAAACCATTAAAAAATGGATTAATATCCCTGTAAAAAGAGGCCAAAACAAAAACAAGGGCGTTATTTTAAGTGTTAATGGCATTTCATGCATTCGAGTTAATTGACGTTGTTTTTTATTGATAAACAAGACACTTTTATTTGAAGCATAGATGTGGGCAATTATCGTGATGATACCGGTTTGCAAAAGTGTTTTCAGCGATAATTATGAACTTTTTTTAGTTGAATTATAAGGACTTTTGAATCTACGAAAAAAGCAAATCTTCCACGCATTTTTCAACCCTTAACACCACATAATTACACAAGATATTTTGTATTGAATCATTTTATTGGTTTAGACTTTGCAAACTATGACCAAATATGTCTCGAATAATATAAAAAATTGGTCATTTTATTCTCTGTGGTATTCTTTTCATAAAAAAATATAATGAAGTCTTGACTCGGACATTCCGGTTTTATTTGCACAAAGTGACTGATTTGTCTTGTGTATTTTGGTTTGTTATTTTTTCATGAAAAACATAGAATCAGTCTTTTAACGTTATATGTTTAGAATGTTGATCTTCCCTTTTTGCACAAAAAATTGCAAAAAAAACACGATGAAATCACAGCTATAAATTCCAAACAAATTTTGGGAAAGTGATATAATAGGAGATTCTATTAGTATTTTTGGAAAATATTATAAAGCTTCCAACTTATTCAAATAACTTATTGTAAATTGAAAAACTATTTGAAAAAAAACTAAGACTAAACTATGTTTTATTAATTCCAATTAATAAAATTATATTTATTTATTCTAATTTATTCTTATTTAATTTTGTAATAAAATGCAAAAATTTATATTTTGTTTTATAATAAATATTTAATATTTATATTTAATATATATATTTGATATTTATAAATATATATTTAATATATATTATTATACAAATATATTAATATATATTATATATTGTATATTGTTTGTTGTGTTTTATATAAAGTCAGTCTGGAAACCTTATTTATTCCAAAAACCTTATTTATCGACAAAAATAGGTTATTTTTATTGTTTTTTGGTTTTGTTTTTCAAATTTATATTTTTAATTTCAGATCTATTATTTTTAAATGAAAAGGAACTTGGACAAATTAACTGATTATGTTATTTATGCTCAGACGCTGAGTATAACAATAGAAAAAGAAGCTGTCCTTTATAACAACAATAAGGCAAACCTTTTATTGTGTAAAGTAGTAGACACATCAAGAGAAATACAGGAACAATTGATTAAGATCACAAAGATAATCGATTGTGTTAAAGACATCAGAGAAAAGATGATGATAGCTTTAGATAAATATGAAGATATTGCTGCATTTGCATCACAAATTAAGACTTTCCCCAGATCTGGGTTTACTCAGATGATGAATAACGTGCATCTTGTTGTTGGAATGCCAGGATTTGAAGAGGTTAACAATAATGATACAATTCGGAAACTTGAAGAACTACACAACCAGATTCAAAATGTGGACATTTATTCTAAAGATGAATCGAAGGATTTATCAAAAGATAGTTCTCATAATATGGATATTAATATTGCTTGTTGTCTTCCCTCCAACGAATTTAAACTTGAAAACAACAAAAAATTAGAAATCCAACTTTGTAAAATAACATCCAATGAAGACCAACTTAAAGAAGAAATGGAGACTATTGTACATTGAGTTCGTTCCTTTTTGACATCTTCTGCGAATATTACAAGTCCTAACAGGAGACACCAATTGTTTCATTTCTACAATTACATCAAAGACAATACCATTCTTAATTCATTTTTAGCAATTTCCACCCTCGTTCCATCAATTTCACAAGTCGTACTTCGCAATCAAGTTCTCTATTTCACAAACAAACCGGGTTATTCGGGAAGGCCCGCTTCCTTAACAGAAAAACAAAAGAATCGCATGGTCGAATACATCGAAGAACAACAGAAGAAAAAAGACCAACTGATTTTTATGGTTTGGTAAGTTTGCTTAAGAGAGTTTAATATGTTTGTGCCACTTCATAAAATGTATTACTATGTTAATTCCGATGAAAGAATAAAAGTCGCGAACACTGTTTGTATGGAAACTTCCAGACTTGACGTCGAGGAGAAAGTCATACGTAATTGGTTTGAACGACTCAAAATGTCAGTGAATGGTATTCCATGTGAATTTATATGGAATATGGATGAAAGTGGATTTCAAAAGTGGGTGGACAAAATAGATGGGAAGGTTGTTGTAATGAAAAGTGCAACAAAAAATGATTGTGTAATTCCAATCGATCGTTGTGGAAACAGAATTACACTCATAGCAAGTATTTGTATGGATGGGAGTTACTCAAAACCAATGATTGTAATTCCTCGTTCAACAATAGATGTTGAGTTGTTCACGTTTGGATGGTTTAATCAGGTTCTGTTTGAATACTCAGAAACCGCCTTTTTAAACACACAAATATTTCATAAATGGTTGGATTGTGTGTTCCTCCCTAAACTCAGTTCCAAAAGAACATTATCAAATTACAATGGTGAAGCTGCATTGCTATTGGATGGGTATGGCTCACATATTGATGTTCTTGCTTTGCAAAAGTTGAGCAAAGCTGGAGTGAAAATGGTGTTAAAATTTCCACATACAAGTCATCTTTTACAAGTGTTAGATGTTTCAATTTTCTGAAATCAAAAAAGAGAATTACATGGACAAGAAGCCCTCGTCGAGTCCGTTCTCTTAAACAATTTAACTATGAGTAAACAAATACTATCTGTGTTGACATCTTGGCAAAAGACAACAACAAGATTTAACTTCTCTAGAACCTTTATTGCTTCTGGACTTATTCCTCGTGTTATTAAAGATACCTGTGATAAAAAATATCCTCTTTGTGTTTGTGAAGTCGTTCCAAGTTCTTCTATTACTGTTGGTCACTTGTATTATACCCAATCATAAATTGAAAAGTATAAATCTGACCATCCATCCGAAATACATAATGAACAAAGTATTCGCTCTTTGAGGGTTGAGAGTAGAAGTGTTGAAAATGCTCATTCCCAAAGGCAACACTCTTCAAAAAAAAACAATTCCAATAAACTCGGTTTGTTTACGTTATTATTACGTAATTTAACGAAAAAATAACCAAATTATTGCCATTTATTGACAAATAGAAAAAATGAAATGATTGGCTAAATGACTTTATCCCCATTTATGTTTTTGGTTTTGTTATTAAAAAATAGTTTAAATAATAGTAATATTTATTAAACATCCCAAAAATGCTTTTTTTTCGAAGGGAAAAAAATAAATAAGGTTTTTGGAATAAATAAGGTTTCCAGACTGACTTTAATATATTAATGGTAAGTTATACCTCAACCTTAGTGACCTATGAATGTATTGATGTTCTCTCAACCTGTGAGAGTTGAAATAATATCTGACACTCATGGATTACATTCTCAAGTTAAAGTGTCTCCATGTGACATTTTAATTTGCTGTGGCGACCATCTTAACTTTGTCACAACCGACGAAATTCACACATTTTATACTTGGTTAAGTAAACAACCAGCAAAGTATATTATTCAGGTACTGGGTAACCACGAAGAAGACATTCGAAAGCACAAATTATGGCCTACAATTGCTCAAATAGTCCCAAATATTATACTCTTAGACAACGACGTTGCAACAATCGAAGGCATCACCTTTTATGGTATAGGTTCTGGTGTTCTTTCTCTTCTTGAAATGCAATCTCAGTCAAAGCTCAAAGGCAAAATCGACGTTGTCATAAGCCATGACCCCCCATACAAAATTTTAGACCAAAGCGACCCATTCCCAAATAGTCCACAAGAACCACCACAAGGCTCGAAACTACTTTTCAACGAAGTGAAACGCATCAAAGCTAAAATGCACTGTTTTGGCCACATCCACAACTGTTACCGGTATGTTGAAAAATATGGGAGGTTGTATGTCAACGCTGCGATGAAAATCAATCCACCCCAAAGTAAAAGAGGGCAAAAAGAGTTCTCGCAGACCACGCCATTTTCTTTCACTTACCGTGACTCGACTTTCACCCCATGCACCTTGTAATACATTTTACTTTTCATCGTTGTGTTCTTGATCAATTGAAACAGAACGCTATGATCTAGAATGGATCAAAACAGAGAAAAAACGAGAAAATCAATAGTATTGTGGTGGGAACTGGTACTGTGGAGAGTATTGTGTCGGTTGTCTTCGGTACATTCTTCTTTGTGGCATTTGTTGAGGTATTTGCATCATCTGTTGAGGGACTTGTTGATAGACCGGCCTTTGTCTTCTCATTGGTTGTCTTTGGTATTGTTGTATTGGGACGTATTGTTGTGGTGGGTAGTATTCTTCTTCATACCTCATAGGTGCATAAGCCATTCTTTGTTGTGGTTGGTAATAGTATTGGTCGTCGTATTGTTGATCGTCATACATATCGCAACCTTGTTCGTCGACGTATTGGACTTGGTCTTGGTATTCATCACCAAGATCCTCTTGCTCATCTGGTTGATCGACAAAAGTGTCTTGGATTGACTTTGGTGCAATAGACTTCAAGTATTCCATTTGTTTTTTAATTTCCTGTAGTCGATAGTAGTATTCTTCTTCCGTTATTGTCTGTGGTTGTTGTGCCATTTGTTGACTTCCTTGTTGTGTTTGTTGTTGTCTTTGAGCTCTTTGTTGGATTTGACCAGCAGTTGGAGTTGGTTGTTGTTGAGGTGCTGGTCCCATTCTTGACTCTGGTCTTGGAGCTCTTTGTGCGATTCTTTGTTGTGGTCTTTGTCTGATTTGGCCTCTTTGTGGTACTGAGGTGTTTGCGACGGATGGTAACATAATTTTTCTAGATTGAGGATCTTGTTGTTGTTCCCCAAAATATTGGTCGTTTTCGTCCTGTCGAATTTTTTCCTCTTCTTTTTTTAGACTCAGCGGTTGTTTACTTTGACCTGGCATTTGATTGGCCATTTGTTGACTTTCCTTCTGCTTGATTTGATTCATACAGAAATTGTCGACAACATCACTACACAATTGACTTTGGACAAGTCTCTTCGTTTGAGTCTCTGTTTTAACAACATCGTTCATCTTTTGTTGTTTCTGTTGTATCATTTCTTGTGGAGTTGCACTAAGTGGTGCTTTGATAACATCTTTTTTCGTCGCGCGTTGTGGTTGTCCTTTCTTTTGGTTCAACGTTTGTTCGACTTGTTGTGGGTTGTGTATCTCATTCAAGTCGTCTTGTCTGGAAACATTAGCTTGGAACAAGTCATCCTTTTCTACCTTCTCAAACTTCTCCGCCAGTTCTCGTTGTCTTCTCTCCAAATTTGCATACATCGAGCAGATCTCTTGCATCTCATCTTCTTGTCTTGCTAACACATTATTAATCGCGTGGGTCTCTTCCTTAATTTTCCACAATTTTTCTAATGACGCCGGGTTCTTTAATGAATTTGTAAGCACTTTATTGATCTCCTCGATGCGCTGTATCCCACTTTCTACTATTTTTACAAGTTCTTTTGATTGTTGTTGAACAAGGACTGGGATGTCTTGTTGCGATGTCAGTATTTCCGTTTGCGATGGTGTCACTTTAACCAACCCCTCCGCAAATGACTCCGCGGCTTGCCCGTAATTTTTCGTGAGGGTTTGCAACTGCTTTGTGAATTGTTCGCTGGTCGCTGCCATTTTTGGACCGAGATTTTGGCCTAATTTGTCAGTAAAGGACAGAACAGTAATACTATAAAATGTTAACCATTTGTTATAGAGAAAATTTGAACAAACGAGCTGCAGCCATGTTAGTGTTAAAAGTGTTGAGTTGTGTTTGAATGTCTTGGGACATTTAATTACATTTTTTGAGATCCAGCAAATCGAATGTTTATGGTGAGGAAACTATAAATTGTAGTTTGGTAACTAAAAAATTCTAATTATTTCATTGAGTCTTTGAAAACACTAATATGTGTCCACTTCCCTTTGGGAACGACTGTACTGCGCATTTGAATCGATTCGACTATTTTTGGATCACCCTCTTGTACCGATGGCAAAACATGACACTCAAATGGATTGCGAATACACATATTCCCGTCGTGATCAACCGCCTCTAATGTCCCAACTATGCTTCTTTCATCAATCAACACAATTTTCACAATTTTGCCAAGCAAATCCACCATTTCTTTTTTTCTAGTTTCTATTTAAATAGTAATTTTCTTTGTGTTATTTTCTTTGTTATATATCGGAAGGTAATTTGGAATAAGGGTTTTTAGAGTGTAATTTATTCATGAAAAGAATGTAAGTTTGTCCGATTTCAAAGGTTTAAAGTAATATAATATTTATAAACTATACTATTGTATTTTATAATCATTAATTAATCATATGATTCATTTAAAATAGTCATGGATTGTTGAACTTTGTAAAGTAAAGTACAAAATACAAACAAGCTCGAATAATTCTTTTAATTATTCAAATTTTCTCACTCATTTATTACTAGAATTATTTTAATATTTTTAATTATAAAAAGCTATTTTTATTATTTTTTTAAACTATTTTGTTTATTATTATTCAACTATTAAAATAATGTCATTGTATAAAAAATTAACAAGACGAAGATTAGAATAATGTTCAGTCACCATACTCTATTTTAAATATTTCATTACTAAGTTATTTGGATTGTTCATTTTTAAAGTCAAAAAGTGCTTATTTTTTTTGTTGACTCTATTTCGATGGCATTTTTTTCTTTTGAGTAAACCGAATTGCTAAATTTATAAAAAAACCCTAAAGTATAACCAAAAAATGCTATTATTGATTTTCTTTCAAACCAATCCCAAAGACATTAATTTAAATAATACTAATAAAAAATAAGCTATTGAATAACCTTTATGATTGACAATACGACAGAGTTATTTTCTTTTTACCAAAAAAATATTTAAGAAAAAAATAACAAAAAATGTTTTTTATAAAAAGTATAATAGACTCGTTTAATATTTTTAATTATAAGATCCTAAAACAACGATTTGGTATATAGTTAAATTATAGTAAAATAATCATATTTATACCTTTTGTTTTAACATTTTCATTGCACTTATTCGAATCTAGAGATTACTCAGTTATTAAAATAATACTATTATTTTTACTATAAAAGAGCGTCTTATTTATAATAAAAAAACATGCCAAAAGTCCGTAGTGGAAACGAATGAGGATGACAACTATTAAGAAGCTTCTAGGTTCTTAGTAATGTGACATGAAAATGGGGAAAGTCCTGTTCAAACATGCCCAATTCCATATAAACCAACTCTGATGTATTGAATTAACAATTGATGACCTCTGCGTTGAGAAACCCCAAAATAGTCAATTACAGAAACGTCGTCGGACTTTCAAAAGACTGCGACGCCTTTGAGGCAACATACCCGATCTTGTTCATATCACTCGACTCTTCGGACAATAAGGGATTCACTCGCGGCGCTGTTCATATAGTCAAGCAATTGGTGCCAGAGTTCAAGAATTTGGAGAACGACCAATTCGCCTTCCAGTTTTTCACGGAGGGTATCACCAACAAATTAGTCTGCATCACTGCCATTCCAACTGGTTTTAAAGTCGTTTTGAGAACGTATGGTAACTACACTGAATACTTGGTAGACAGAAGACAAGAGGCTGCCATCATGAACGCTTATGGACAGAAAGTCTACGGTGGGTTCTTGAATGGAATTGTATATGCATTCACTCCAGGAAGAACAATGGACTACGTCGAATTCAGAAAGCCTGAAATCACAAAGAAGATGGCGGAGTGTGTTGCTAACATGCACCACTTAAGTCCAAAATTGACTAAAGAGCCTATTCTCTTTAAAGAAATGAGAGCTTGGCTCCACAATTTGCCAACTACTTATTTGGACCCAGAGAAACAAAAGAAGTTTACTGGAATCAAGTACGATGATTTACTCAAGGAGATTGAATATACTGAGAAGAAACTCACTGCATTGAACTCACCTCTTGTGTGTGGACACAACGACTTGTATCTTAAAAATTTCATCATCAATGACGAAGACCAAACTATCAAGTTGATCGACTTTGAATACGCGTCATGGAATTTCCAAGCGTTCGATTTGGCGAATCACATCACTGAGTGGTGCGGTGTCATCATGGACTTCTCAAAATACCCCAATCGCCAGGAACAAGACTTTTTCTTGAGAACTTACTTGGAGACATACAACGGAAAGGCCCCAACTGATGAGGAAGTTGATAAATTGTATGATGTTGTGAACCAATTCCAACTCGCGACAAATCTCTTGTGGGCAATTTGGGGATTTGTCGATGCTGCACTTTCGACGATAGAGTGGGATTATATGGACTACGCGTGGCTCAGACTTAACAAGTACTACGAATTGAAGAAGAAGCTTTAATTTGAATGTTAATTATTCCTTTATTTATTAAGTTTATTTATTACTTAGAACTGTTATATTAAAAAGTTATAATATAATTATTATAAATTATATTAGATCAATCAATCACAGACAAGGTGATGTCTTACAGAATACCAGATAACCCAATTAAAAAGGCAGAAGCCTGTCACTCGACTCTTCGTCAAAAGAACAGAAATGACTTGATGAAGAAGAGAAGAATTATACCAGACGGACCATTCGACAGAGCACAAATTGACTCTTCTAACAACCAAAGTCATTTTGTTTTGGATGTCAAATTTAAATTGGAGTCACGGTGCACGGATGTTGTCACACAAGCACTCATTGCATTAAAACAGTTTGTGAGACAAACTGACGGATATTGCTTCGAAGAATTGGCGAAGAATAAAGTAGTACCAATTCTAGTCAATATCGTTTCATGTGATAATGTTATACAACTCTCGTTATCATTGACTATTCTTGCTCAAATAGCGTCGTCTTCTTCACAAGTTGTGATGGATGAAATATGGGAGAGTGGTGCATTTGAGCTTTTCGTCAACATACTCGAGAGCACATTTTCAATTTCAAAAAGCAACTTGTTCCAAGCAGCCGCTATTGGGTTTGGCAACTCAGTTCTGTCGGGAGGAAAATTCCTTGACTTCGTAGTGCGGAACAACGTATTCAAAATGTTCTCAATTAATTTTGTAAAAGTGGTGGAGTGTATGGACCAAAGTGTCCCCGAAGCGTTTGTCTTTGCTGTGTCGCGAATGGCTACAAATAATGGACTACGACAAGATGAATTTGAGTGTGCTATCCATTTTGTTTTGAGCTGCAGAAACCTCACAAATTTTGAGGACGTTATATTTCTTTTGAACTACTTTTCAAGTGATTCGAGTTTGGATGAAAGTGTCAAGGCAATCGCAATAAAGTATATATGGGGCTTTGAAGAAACGGCGAGTGTGTGTCGGAATGTGCTTGGGAAAAACTTCTGTTCGTGTCAAAGTAATGAAATCAATTTTTTGATTCAAAGCATAAGACTGAGTCCTGATGTCTCACCTCAAATCGAAGGACTGATAAAGTTTGTGGTGAACACGCTCGGTACAAGTCAAAGCGATGTTTTTGAAAGTAAGTGCATATTATTGTCATGTCTGTCTGAAAATCCCATGACAAGTGGAGAAGTGTTAAAGTGTATTATGAAGCAAAATGAGTGTTGTAGCTTTTTGATAAAAAAGATGAAGGATGAGAACTTTGAAACTGCGAAGTCTGCTGGACTGTTTGTTTCTAAGTGTGTCTCAGTGTACTTTGAAAACCAGCAGATTATTGTCCGATTTGAAGAAAATGGTGTAGTCGATGGTATAGTCAGCCTTTTGCAACGAAGTGGACTTAGAAATGATTACACAAGTCTTACTTTTATCCTCACAACACTCTTTACACTCTTTTTTGTTTGTTTTATATCTTGGCCATTGCTACAGACTCATCACATAGTATCAAAGCAATGTTTCAATCAGCGAAGAGTATTTGTTTGAACCAATTAATCAATTTGAGGAACTTGGAGGCTATCAAATTCTTCAAGAACTCAGTACAATCACAAACCCACAAATAAAAGAGCTTATAAACTCTTTGGGAATGTCCTTATCGAAACAAAACAACGACGATCTTTAACTAATTAACCAATGATATACTTTGTGACAACAAACATTTGTTTTTTAATGGTATTTTAAATGTATTCAATACATCAAAATATCAATTTATTAAGAAGTGTGTTATTTTATTTTTTTATTTGAAACTTTTTAAAACAATAACTTAATAATAATTTCTTTTAATAAAAACATTTAAAAAGATATAATAAATCAACAGAACAAAAACTTAAAAGTCAAATCAATCCACCCAACAGAAATATTTCACAGTTATTATTTAATGACTTGAACAAAGCATTGACACTTATTAGTGAAACAATTATTAAATTAAAACAATTGATTCATTAAAATCAAAAAGGAGAAAGTTTATAATATACTTGTTGAATGGAGTGAAATAATTGTTTATTGTTAATGGATAGTACAGAAATTTGTCATCTCGTTTAAAACAAGAAAAAAAATAACGACAGAAATTAAAATTTGTGATTCGAAAACAAAAAAAACGTTTCTGCTTAAATGTTTTGGTAATTTTTAGTTATAGTTAAATAATAGGATTATATTTGTAATTATAGTTTAAATTGAAATGGTTTGTTTTTCTTTGTTCTTATTAGTAAAAAAACTAATATATTTTATTATAAATATACTATAATGATGTTGCACTAAAACTTCAAAGTTGCACTATGAATGACTTTAAAAAGATCTTTGACTCCAACCAAATAGATTGGTTGTTTATACATTGTACATAAACTATTGTTACACCTATTTTATAATTTTCTTGTTCTTTCTTCGTATTTCCTCACTGGTTTATCTTGCATTGTTTGATCGGTACCATAAACAACTTCCTCGGTTGTATCATCCTCTTCCGATTTGTTTTCTGATTTATCTCCAAAACTGGCCTCTTTCTCAAACTGTCTTTTAAAAAAATCCTCGAGCATTGGACCCATCACCAATGTTTTGTTTTTCATTTTCTTAACTACGTCTTTGATTAAAACTTCTTTTTGTCGATTTGCTCTGTCCAAAGTGCGTTTCAAATAAGGGAGACTGTTCAACATTTTTGGTTGAAGTGGTATAGAAACATTTAATGAACTAAACATGAGTAAATTAGATATATCCACACATGATTCTATGAGTTGGTCTTTGAGTTTATTAATGTCATTTTCTGTTTCCATTCTATAACATTTTAAGTTCCATGATGAGGGTTATAAAAATAGACCATTTCACTTTTATTTTTGGTTCGAAAAGTACATGCAGATATTTTAATTGAAGAGCAATTTCTAATTATAATGCACAATTGTATTACGTGGTCCAATTTTTAATATAAAATATTCCATTCACATGAATTATTAGAAAGAATTCAGTGTGATATTTAAAAAAAAGTATTTCCATCTTTTTATATCAACTTTCTTAATCAAATTACATGGAAATCTATATAGAAAACGGGACGCTATCACTTCACATTAAATGGATAATACAATAGCTTATCAATTATACCATATTATAAACAACTCCCCTTTTTGTGAAGTTAAGTCCACTCAACAACAGCAAAGCTGCGCACAAACAATGACTTTGTTTGTTTGCACCCAAAGATTGAAATTCCGAGACCTGTAAAGTCGATAAAGTGGATTTGGAATTTGGATGAAATCTCGACCACCGCCCGGTTCATGTCAAATTGACAAAACCCGAGCACATCATAATAATGGCCAAAGAGTCTTGAAGAAAGGGTTGAATAACTTCTGAAGAGTACTGGTTGTTGAAGACCAACGCCTTTCAAACAGAACGCTGATATCTGTTCGTCTTCGTTCCATTCCACACCAACTGGTTTCACGTGATTCACCCCAAATACGGCGTTTTCTGTTTGAAATATGACCGACACGTTTGGTCTCTTAAGTGCATCTTTCATGTTTTGGACGCCTTCATAGTATGCAGTCCCATCGAACAAAACTTGAACGTATTCGTTCTTATTGAGTCGACTCAGTTCTTTGAGGTACTCTCCAATAGAAGTCATTTCTTTAATTGCGGTCGACAAATACGCTATTTTATCAACAAGGGATGGACACACAGGATAGGTAGTATTTCCATTTCCACTTATGGTAACACACATATCCACCTTTTTCTTTACACAATTTGTTGTGACTATACAATCTCTCTTTCTGTCTTCTTGCGCTGTTTCAAATTTAATTGGCGAGATCCTCCCGTCTTCGTCAAATATTTCACTTCGGTCCGCTTTGCTTGTCATTTCAACTTCTCTGAAATCGAGTACATTGTCTTCCGGTAATTTACTGATAGGTGACAAGTCGTCTGACTCCTCAGTGACAATTTGTGTTGTTTTTGCTGGGTGTTCGAAGTCCGCCATTTCGCAATCCATTTTGGCGTTGTTTGGGTTAAAAAGTGGTTGTGTGATTTGTTGCGTCGTGTTACACCTGAGTACCGTCATAGGTTCTCTTGTCTTAATCATTCCATTCGTTTTAAAGGGGTTAACAGTCTCTTTCATTTGTTCTCCCGAAACGTTCAAATTGATAACTCCGTAGTTGTGTAGTGCTTCGATAACAAAGCTGGAGTGGTCATTCCCTTTCTCCATCTCTTTCTGCTTTTTCTATTTCAACAAGAGCTCATTGATTTTGTTTTTTAAAATGTTATTCCTTTTATCTTTTTTATGTCATTTTTTCATTGAAAAAAGAAATACTAAAATGTTATTCATTCTTGAGGAATATCTCTCTGCCAACCCTATTTCTAGGGTTTTCCTAAAATAGAGTTTCTTACAAAAAAATGAGAATTAAATTATATGGTAAAATAAATTATATATTTTAAAAAATGTTTTTGAAGGGACAAAGAAAAAAAGCAAAGAAGTAACACTGAACTTGAAAGACTTTATGTCTGAGAGTGAGTTCACGCCAATCACAGAAGGACAGGCGACTGTTTTGTTTTCGAAAACAGAAGCTGAGGCGTTCTATAATCCCGTTCAAGAATTAAACAGAGACTTATCGATTTCAGTGATATCGTCGTATTTGTTGTCACAAAAAGAAGAACATGAAAAAACACAGAAAGAATATCACCCTGTTGTTGTCGAAGCACTTGCCGCGTCTGGACTCCGTTCTATTCGATACGCAAAGGAATTGCCACAAGAAGTCGACTTTAAGGTGATTTCAAATGACATTTCGAAAACAGCAGTGGAGGCGATTAACCGAAACGCAAAGTACAACAACGCAACACGAATCATTCCGTCGGAATCTGACGCAGTGCTGATGCTTTACAAATTATCACAAGAAAAGAATAAAGCAGACGTCATCGACTTGGACCCATATGGTGCACCAACACAATTTTTGGATGCTTCATTTGCAGCTATTAGAGATAATGGATTAATGGCAGTGACATGTACCGATATGGCGTGTCTTGCTGGAACACATGTACCAGCGTGTTACTCCAAATATGGGGCGATGCCATGGCACTCATCATGCGGACATGAATTTGGATTAAGACTTGCACTACAAGCCCTTGCAGAGACGGCTTCAAGGCACAAAAAGTATATTGTGCCACTCGTTTGCTTCCACATCGACTTCTATGTCAGGATGTTCATCATTGTCAAAAGCTCTGTGTCACTCTCTGGAGAACTTCCTTTGCATGAGGGTCTTGTATTCACTTGCTTGTCATGCGAAAGTTTCTGTTGTAACAAACTTGGGTATGACAAAGATGGTAAAATGAAGGCGTCGCCTTTGAGAATCACATCAAACATTTGCGAACATTGCAAATCCCCATTACACATCAATGGACCTGTTTGGATGGATGACTACATCGACTATGACTTCACTCGGAAATTACTTAAAAGGTATCAAGAAAACGAAGGGTTGCACGTTAACTCAAGAAGAAGAATCATGGCACTTCTCCAACTTCTTTCCGACGAACTTCCTAATACCCCTCTTTTCTACGCTCTCGACAGAGCAGCTCACTTTTTCAAACTCTCTGTACCACCACGTTCTATTTTTGTGTTTGTTCTTCTGGTATATTTGTAATAAAAATGTTATATTTGTATGGTTCTTAAAATAGAAGATGACATGTAGGCAAGCTTTAGAGTCTAAAGGGTTCAAAACATCTTTTTCGCACACGTACCCAAATAGCATTAAAACAAATGCGGACGCAGTCACGGTCTGGGACTTGTTCAGGGAGTTCAATTCGCAAAATCCGTCGAAAGTGTCTGAACAAACGCCAGCTTATGTGTTATTGAAAGAGAAGCAAAAGACAGTATTTGAGTTGACTCAATTCAAGAAAATCAAAGAGAAAAAACCGAACCCCTTATTTGTGGAGAAACCAGGCAAGAACTGGGGACCTGGGTGCAAGAAGAAAAAGACGCTCACCAACAAAATCAATTCAATGGGTGAAGACAAAAAGGAGAAAGAGAAAGATGAGGACTTAGATATCTGAGTTCTTTTTACGTATAATCGAATGGTATGTTATATTACATTTTAATGCAATATTATGTATTGTAACATTTGATTTTAAATCGTTACAACGAAAGAATGAACTCCATATATTCCTGTGTTGAAAATACTCGAAAATTTGGTCCAAAAAAAGAACTGATAAAAATAATGTATTTGACTTTAAGTCTACTCGTAATAGGGCTTTGTCGTGCAAATACTTTTTGTTGTAAATACACAAGTGGGAAAGAGTGTTGGTGCGATAGCTTTCAAGACTGTGCAACTGATATGGTCAAAAATGATGTCTGTATTGGCTCGTATGAGTGTAATATCTATTGCTATCACTCAAGTTTGTGCTTATCATCTAAATCAAGTTTTAATGTAAAGGCATTACCGCGGGGTCTTACATCTATGTCATTCTATTCTTTGCGCTGGTACTCTCCTTCACCTTTTTAATCGCGACAAACTGTTGTTGTTCCTTCCATGAAAAAATCGTTACAACAGCCCCACGTCTCCACAGAAAAGAATCTCCGCCTTTGGTTTTCAACACAAAACTGAGTGGTGACGAAAATGGTGATTTACCAAAAGTGACAAATGAAGAAAAAGTGGAAGGTGCTGCAGTTGTGATAGACTCTTCTGAGACAAAAAATGTACTTTCAAACACAGAAACACTTCAAACAAATTTAGTGCTCGACTAATTGTTATTCACTTTATTCTTACTTTATTGAACTTTTAACAAATCAATGAAAAGAAAGTAATTCTACTAAAAATAGTTAAAAAGTTAATAAAAGAATCACCTCACTTTGACTCTTCAGACTTCTCGTCTTTTTCTTTGGCTTTATCTCTTCTTCCAATGCCCAAAGTAGCACTTAGTCTTCTTTTCAAACTTTTGCGTTTCTCCTTCTTTGGTGATGTCGATGAGTCTTCAAGTCCTCCTTCGACCTTTTTGTTGCCATTCGACATCTCTTGTATAGTGATGTTAAGTGGGTTATCTCCTTCTGTTTGTTGTTGTTGTGCTCTCGCGCCAATTTGAAGTCCTCTTCTCTTTTGTGGTTGTGGTTCTTCACTTTGTGTTTCGCTGATCGATTCAGACACTTCACTTTTTTGTGCGACTCGTCGTCCTCTTCGACTTCCCAATATCCCTCCCATTTTTCTTTCTTCTGGTTCTTCAACTTCCTCACTCTGAACCTCTTCGACCTTTCTTGCTCTATTCCCACCAAGTATCCCAGCCATCCGTGGTTTTTGTGGTTCCTCCTCTTCATTGCTTTCATTTTCTTCTTCACGTGGTGGTTCTTCAACTTTTTTCTCTGGAAGTGGCAAGTTGAGTTGAATGTTTGAAGTGTCGACTGGCTTGTAGTCCCCAAACTCGTCTTCTTCTTTACTTTTCTCTTCGTTTGACGCTTCACTTTTATGTGGACGATTTCTGAACGAGACTCGTTGTCTTCGTTGTGGTGGGAGTGTGGGAGGTTCTTGTGAAGCAACTTCTTCCTGTGGTTCTGCGACGACCTTTTCTTCTTCTACTGGTTTTTCTTCCACCTTTTCCTCAGTTGTTTCTTCTTTCTTTTCTGGTTGTTCTGTATGTGAAATAAGTGCTGCTGGGGCATTACCTGCTTTCCCAAAACTCGGTCTGCCATTTCTTGTTTGTCTCAAATTCAGTCTTCTTCTTGAATTTACAGGTGGAGGGGGTGGTGCATCATCTTGTGGTTGTTCTGCACTTTGGTCTTGACTCTCTTGACTTTCATTTTGATGCGACAGACCTCTTCTTGGGTTTACAGGAGGAAGTGGTGGGTTATTTTCTTCTTCAATATTTTGTTCTGGTTCTTCACTCAATTGTTGTTCCTCTTCTTGTGTGACAGGTTCAGGTGGCAACATATCTCTGATGTTCTTTGGTTTGTTTCTTCCCAATTGGAATCCTCTTTTGACAAACTCAGGCTCAACAACTTCTTCGTCTTCATCTCCTTCATCCTCTGCAACTTCATTTGCGTCTTGACTTGATTCGATTCTTCTTGGTTGTTTATTTCCAAGCATACCACCAAATCGTCTTTGTTGTGGGTATTCTTCTTCCTCTTCTTCTTGTTCAATTTCGTCTGTTGCTTGGAGTTCTGGCATATTCAAGTTAATCAAAGATGCTCTTGTTACCTTTCGTGGTCCATATTCCTCTTCTTCGTCCTCATTTTGTAAAGCAGCTGGTGTTGGTAAGTTAAGTTCTTCTTTTGTTGGTTTTGGTACTCTTGGAGCTGGAATGGGTGGTGGTGAAGATGTTTGTGAATCTTCAGAGATCGATGACTTGAGCTTCTTATTTTCTTCTTTAATTCTTTTGGCCTCTTCTGCTTTTGCCTTCTTCTCGTCTTCTTTTGCCTTTTTAGCTTCTTTCGCCTCCTCTTTAATTCTCTTTGCTTCTTCCTCTTTGACACGCTTTTCTTCTTCTTTCATTCGTTTGGCGTCTTCCTTTTGGTTCTTCTTTTCTTCCTCTTTGGCGCGCTTTTCCTCTTCTTTTGCTTTCTTTCTCTCATCCTCTTTTTGTGTCCTGTCAGACTTATTATCGAATCGGTTGTCATCCGACGACTCATTTTGTGATGCCTTACTTCCACTATCTGACATCACGGGCATTGTTTGTTTGTCATTGACTCTGCCAAGCCTTTGTGGCTTTGGTGGAGTTGGTGGGACAACCTCAATTGGAGCAACTTCTCTCTTTTCATCAGTTTTAACAAGTTGGGCGGGTTTTGGAGGAAGAACAGGAGTAGTTCCAGCGGCGGCAGCAGCAGCTTCTGCTTGGACTTGTTTGAGTTGTTCTGCTTGCTTTTCGAGTGTTTTGTTTAATAACGAAGTTGGGTCTGCACGTGGTCTTTGTCCTCTTACACTTCTTCTCATTGCCATTCTCTTTGGTCCTGTTGGGTTTGAGAACAATTCGTTTGGAATGCTTGGCGCAGGTTTGTCATCAACGGATTCTTCTGTTGATGAAGTAGTGCTTGCTTCAACTTGTGGAGGTACAGCGGCTGGTGTTAATACATTTTCTTGTGTTGGTCGTCTTTGTTTTGACATGAAGTTTTTACGATTCATACCATCACTCGTAGATGTCAGCGCAGAAGGCTTAGTCCCAAATCTTCGTGATGACTGTAACACTGCAGATTTCTGTGCATTCTTTCTTGAGTCCAAAACAGTCTTTCTTGCCAAGGTCGATGCACTCAGAGCATCTCCTTTAAGACTTGGGCGCTTGAATAAGTTGGCATCAAACTTGATGACAGTGCCAAGTAACTTGATTTCTTGCACGTTGATCGCCTTTGGCTCGACTTTGTCACCAAAGTAATTTGGTTTATCTGGGTTGAGACTTGCTCTTGTAGCAAAGAGGTCATCTCGTTGGAATTTACACAATTGTGCAGTGCCTATCATTGCATTTGGTCTGTGCGACGTTCCATACTTCTCAATGACATTCTGTTTGTTTGCCTTTGTATCAAATTGTTTGCACAAGTAGACCAATTCGTAGAACTTCTGTCGATCTTCGTCACTTCCGTTCGCTTTGTTCCCAACACAGAAAGTCGGTTCTTTTAAAGCCGTTCCCTTGACGTCCCAATTCTCAAGTCTTTCAAGAATATTATTTGGGTTAAGTTCTTTAGAGAATGTATCTGTTCGGTACATTGTGATGGTTTTGGGTTCATCGATTTCTTCAACCTTCTTGATATAGTCTCGTTGTGAACTTTTCTCATTCTCAGTCTCGAGATTCAACACATTTCCACTCGACACAAGAAATGTTGGCTTCTTTCTGTTTCTTGCCTCGCTGATTCGCGATAGAAGACGTTGGTCTGTAATAGCCTTTCCGACACCTTTAAACGTGCTCAACTTCTTTTTCTCTTCTTCGATACGAACGACTTCTTCTTCCTTTTTTCGATACTCCTTCTTCCATCTTTCATCTTGAACGTTCTGATTAGTTCCACTTTTGAAATTGGCTTTAGCTCTCAAAAAGAACGTGACGACGTCTCTAAAGTACTGTTCGAAGTCTTCCAAACTTAGTGGAACCTCGACATTTGCTCGAACCACCTTACTCTTCTCCGTATCATATTGCAATTTTATGGTGTTACTCTTTTGATCTCGATTGTCTCGAAGGGTGTCCATCACCAAATTGCATTGTTGGTCAAACATCGTTTTGCTGTTACACTTGGTCACGTCAACAACAAAAGTACTCCCCTTTCGATCTTCTCTGTCCATATCTGGCATTTCATCGTCGCTACCTTCCTCGGAATCTTCGTTCATTCGCTTTGTTTCATATCCAGTTTGTCTGAGTTTGTATGACTCAATTTTCTTCTTCATTTGCTTCAAGACTTCATATGCATGTCGTCGAGTTTTTTCATCAAGGGTGTCGTTCTTTGTGTCAAGCACAAATTGTCGGTAATAATTAGCAACATCGAGTTCGGCTTGTTTCTTCGCCTTTCTTTCTTTTCTTTCATTGTTTTTCCTCTCGCGCTCAGCTTTAATGTCGGCTTCCGTCTCTTTTTGTTGTTGGCGCGACATCTCTCCATTCCCTCGTTTCTCTAATTTGTCTTTCGCTATCCGGTCTTCCGCTTCTCGTCTTCCAAGCCATTGCCAAGTCTCACTTCTAGCTAAATCGTCCGGACCAAGCACAACATCATCCAATGTAATTTCAGCAGTAGTTTCCATTACAAATATTGGCATAGCCTTTTGGAGTCGTTTTAAAAAGCCTTTGTCGTCGATTGGGTTTCCAATAAAGTTGATCCATCGCAAGTTAAACATTTTCGAAAAGACCTTTTCAAACTCTCCATACGACCTTTCTGTTAACAAATTGTTTTTCATTGACAACTTCTCCAATCCATAAAACGCTCGTATTGGTAGAATCGAGTCAATTTTGTTCCCGTCCAACTCAAGTTTTGTGATCGACCCAACAACAGTCAACTCGATTTTCTTGATCTTGTTGTTGTTCATTTTTAATTCATCAATTGGTCTTTCTCCGACGTTATCAAGTGTTTCTATTTCATTTCTGCTCATATCAAGTGACATCAAAACAGGGAAGTAGTCTGCGGTGAAGAGTCCAAATTCAATTGATCTTATACCCGCATTCCGTATAGAAAGGGTCTTTAAATTTGTCCACACAATTTCGGTATCATCAGCATCTTTGTTTTCACCTAATAAAAGTGTTTGAAGGTCATCAACTTTGACACCGTCTAGTTTCAGTTCTTTCAGTCGATTTGGGATGTTTAACGTCGTAATTTCCACTTTGCAGTAGATGTTCAGAAAACTGATACTTTCAATGTGACACGACTCCACAAAAGACAACGAAAGTGGTGGTCGTTCGTTCATATTAACATTCTCAACTTGATCTTCCTCTCCAAAGATTTCGACTTCTTTGATTTTATTGAACTCTTTAGACAACGTGTTCATTGTCCCATATGTCGGGTTCGTCAACCCATTGAAGAATAACACTGTTGATGGGTTCAGTCGAATTTTCTCATCACCACCTTGTTTACCTTGACTTATCATTTCTTTGAAAGTGACCAATTCCTTGTGAAACGCATTCAAAAATTCGGAGTTATCAATATAGACGTCTTCTTTTTTCTCATCAAGCGTCGACTCATTTGTACTATCAGAAGTGTTTTTAAACACAAACATATATTTTACAGTTTCTTTCTTAGTTACTTTTCTTCAATTTCCTTCATTATTACACGTAAAATACTTATACATTGGTCAGATCTTGTTTTAACTAATTATTCTCTAATTATTATTATATTTAAAAAAGTATAGTTTAGTATTATTTACTTTTCCCATAATTGAAGGGTCATTTGCTGTGTTCAATTTATTTTCTTCTCTTCTCAAAAATATAGTTGTTTTATTATAATAATGCTATTAAACAATTGAATTGATAGTAGTTGAATATTAATAAAAAAATCTATTGTGAAACTAAAGAAAGAACACAAAAAGTAAACTATAAAAATCATATTTTTACAAGTCACTATGTTGAGACTTCTAACATTAGCTTTTGCAATAGCTGCCGTTGCGCTGAACCTTCGCGATAATTTAGATGATTTTCTTGACAACTTAGACAAAGACGAGTTATTTAATGATGGCGAATACAACGAAGATGACGAATTTACATTGGATGAGGATATCGACGATTACATGGATGACGAAGATGACGATTTTTCAGACGACGAAGATGATGAGGATGAATATGACCTCCAGCAAATCACCACTAACTTTTCCTTTTCTCAAGACGACAAAGTTTCTGCTTTAACACCGGAAGCAATTTTTGATAGTGCGGAAAGACTGTTAGTTGAAGTTCAAGTTCCCGCATTCTCTGGGCTTCGCGACGTCAAGTAATTAATACCATTTTATTCCTTTACTTATGAGCGTTACAACAAACACCCCTAATCAAATTTCACTTAATAAAAAGAACTGCTTAAAAGCTGCTGTACTTCAGCTTGACATCATCATTGTGTTTCTTCTTGTGCTTGATCCATGTGTAGAGGAAGATTGTACCCATCACAAGAGCAATAAATACGATTATCACTGCAGTGATTATACCAAACCACATCCAGAGTTCCCAGTCTTCTTGCTCCCGTTGGACATCACCAAGTCGGGTGAAGTTCACCATAAACGATCTGTTTGAACTAGTGAGATCTTCTACAATAAAACCTATATGAACATACACGGGGCCTGAAGGATGTATGTCAAATGTTGTGCGAGCACCTACACCACCAGCACATGTCAAATCCCCTGTTGTGTACGTGTCCTTGTAGATCACACATTCACTCTTATCATCAATAACATTGATTGCCATTAAACCATCAGCATGTCCGCAGGTATTCACTTCAATGTTCCAGTCATGTGCAAACGAAACTTGAAATGTCCTTCCAAAGATTTCTCTCTGAATTGGGTCTGTAAACTCTTCAGAACATTTATCCGATGTGCCATTCACCGCGGGGAATACAGTGATATACTCATAGAATGGTAGATCTTCGACAAGTATGTTGGGCAATTCGTTCTCGTCAATGTTTTGAAAATGAATTGTGAAGCCGTACTGCTCTTTTGTAGTTTTGTCCGATGCAAATAAGAGTTTGTACTGATTCACATTCGTCACAGTGAATTGTTGTGACTGTTCGATGAGTGTGCACTCTTTGTTTTGTGACTCTTCTAAAACAACTTTCACACCCTCAATGGGTTGTTCGAGTGTGATGTGGATTTTGGTATAAAGTGGAGAGTCAAATTGATACGCGGTGATATAATAATTGGATAACCCACAGTTTGTTGTTGGTGTAATTGTGTCCGATATTTCAACCATTTCCGATTTGGTTGGAATGGTCAAAGGAATCGGTTCGTTATAATCTCCTTGCTTGCCACACACAAAAGGTGTGACAATCAAAAACGCAAAGAAAAGTAACATCACTGGTTTAGTAGTTCATTTTAGTTTAAGTATGGTTTATTGGTAGTTTTGTTTAAGTGTTTTTATTATTATGGATTATCCCGATATGTAAGGACTTTTATTATTTTATTCCACTAAACTCCACAAATCTTTGTTATTTGTTTTTCCATCAATTTTGTAGCAATTGTTGCTCTTTTTTCTTTTTTTTATTTAAAAAAATTACTAAACCAAATTAAAAATAATAAAGAACAAAATAGTGTTTTACACTATTTATTTTTTGAACTAAATTGTTTCCATCATTTTTTTACAAAAATGTTGTAAATAATATGGTAAATTACTTTAATTTTTTAGTTTATTTTTATTTTTTCAAATAAAATCATTTTCCAAAATTTTTTAATAATTGTTTCCTTCTTTTTATGAAAACAATTCGAAATAGTAATTCTATATTAAACCATTATTATAGTTTAAGTTTATTAATATAATAATTGTTTTATAGTTTTTTTATTAAAATATAATTTATTAAGTCATTTATTTTTATTATTATCATAGTTTTTTTATTACAAACACATTTTTATAACAATACAAATTAAAAAATTATTTCGTTTGATAATTATACAATACATTATAGTAAAAATAATTTAATAAATAAATATAAAGTCAGTTTGGAAACCTTATTTATTCCAAAAACCTTATTTATTTATTTTCCTTTGAAAAAAAAGCATTTTTGGGATGTTTAATAAATATTACTATTATTTAAACTATTTTCCAATAACACAACCAAAAACATAAATGGGGTTAAAGTCATTTAGCCAATCATTTCATTTTTTCTGTTTGTCAATAAATGGTGATATTAATGTTGTTATTTACCAAAAATAATGGTAAAATACCGTAAACAAACTGAGTTTTTTGTATCATTTTTTGAAAATTTTCGCTTTTAGGCGCGAGTATTTTTTCAACATTTTTAAGACACTCTTTCGGAGAGCAAACAGACACCCACATACATAGTTAAGACAACTTCTTGTGAACGGCCTTTAATCGACCACTAAACTGCATTTCGATGTTTGAGTCTGCCAATCGTAGTGTTCTTTTCAATTATGATTTGTCTCGTTGTTTTTGATTTTTATTTGATGAAATAGAAATTGGTTGTTGTTAAATTCTCATGTTGTATGTATCATTTTACACAAAAAAGATTTGCCCAACCATTTTTACAACAACGGCACCATTTTTGTTGTTATACACGATGTTTGAGCGTAAAAAATCGAATTGGTCAATTTGTTTAAGTTCGTTTTGATTGAAAAAACAAAGATTTCAAACAAAAAAAAAATAAAATTGAAAAACAAAACCAAATAACAAAAAAAATAACCTATTTTTGTCGATAAATAAGGTTTCCAGACTGACTTTATTATATTATTACTATATATTTAAAAATAAATTTTCAAAATTATATTAAAATATTAATTTTATTTTTTATAAATAGATTTTATATAGTTGATTTATATTAAAAAATATATTATTTTAGAAATTGAAATTAAAGTTTTATAAATAACTTATTTTATTATTTATTAATCATATTTAATTTTTTATTATAATAAATTAATAAAAATAATTATCAAACATACTAAAAATAATTCTATTTGAGTCTTATTGTGTTCTTTTTTACTTCAATTCGAAACAGCACACTTGAGGTATTCGATTTTTTCAATTTTGGAATGACTAAGAAGTTGTATTATTATCTTTACACCAAACAACATTTAGCCTCTTATGCACTTGTCCTTTTTGTATACAATCATAACAAAAGCACCACTCTTGAGTCGTCATACTCCATTTTTTAGCAAAAAAATTATTTCAAAACTTTTTTTTCTCATGAACACCATTTTTGACTAAGATCTCAACGAAAAGAAAAAAGAAAAAAAATGTCTTCAACGTGGTGCAACACCACACCACGTTGCTCAATTTATTGCAAATACTTTGGTAAAAATTAAGTTAATAATTTTATTAAAAAAACGTTTTAATATAATTATTTTGATTGGAATAAACCAAATAATAAAGTTTAAAAAAATAAGTTGAGGATAACCGAAAAATAGAGATGATGAGTTGCCCCCAAAAATGGGAGATACCCTACAATTTAACCTCCAAAGTTCTAACTGTTGTATCGAATGTCTGTACCAACAAAGGAGACTCATCCAAAGGAGAAATCATTAGTCGGAGCGAAAGGCAAATTGACGCTGAAGGGATACACCCCAGGTATGAAGGTTTGCACTCGTTTCCCACCAGAACCATCTGGATACCTCCACCTTGGTCACATGAAAGCCGCCATGCTTAACGATTACTACGCACACAGCAATGGAGGACAACTCATCTTGAGATTTGATGATACAAATCCATTGAAAGAGAGTCAAGAATACGTCGATAATATCATCAGAGACTTGAAGACCATTGGTATTGTTGCAGACAAAGTGTCATACACATCAGACTACTTTGACATGTTGATGGAATATGGAGATAAGATCTTGAAAATGGGGAAGGCATACATTGACGATATGGATCCAGAAGAGATGCACAAGGGCCGTATGGAAGGTATTGAGTCGCCAAACAGAAACAACACACTCGAGAAGAATCTTGAGATGTGGGAAGAAATGAAGAAGGGCACTGAGAAAGGAAAGAAGTGTGTGATGAGAGGAAAGATTGATATGAAACACAAAAACAAGGCACTAAGAGACCCATCGTTGTGGAGATGTATTGACGCAACACACTATAGAACTGGGAACAAGTATAAAGTCTATCCACTTTATGACTTTGGTGTGTCGATTATTGATTCGACTGAAGGTGTGACACATGCTTTGAGATCACAGGAGTACTCTGATAGAGCTCCGTTGTATGACTGGGTTGTTGATATCTTTGGAATGAGAAAACCAATCATCGAAGTCTTTTCTCGTATGAATTTTGCATATGTTTTGTTGTCAAAGAGAAATTTGAATCTTTTTGTGCAGAAGAAATTGGTCGACGGATGGTATGACCCACGTTTCCCAACTATTCAAGGATTGTTAAGAAGAGGGTTGACCCTTGAAGCAATGAAGGAGTTTTGTTTGTCACAAGGATCCTCTAAGAACATCAATCTTATGGAGATGGAAAAGATCTGGGCTATTAACAAGAAAGTAATTGACCCAATTGTCCCACGGTATAACGCTGTTTTGAAGACCGGTGCTTGCAAAGTAACATTGGACACTCCACAAGAGGAAGAAAAGGAAGTTGCCCTTCACAAGAAGAATGAGTCACTTGGAACGAAGAAGATGACTTTTGGCAAAGAAGCCTACATCGACGGCGACGACGCCAAGTCTATTGCTGCCAATGAAGAAGTCACATTCATGGACTGGGGAAATGTCATCTTTGACAAAATTGAAGGAGAGACCGCGGCCGCCCACCTCCACCTTGACGGCGATTTCAAATTGACAAAGAAGAAGTTGACATGGATTTCCACGAAAGACACTGTTGATTTGGAGTTGAGAGAGTTCGATTATTTGATTACTGTCCCCAAGATAGAAGAAGGTATGGAATTGGAGAAGTACATCAATCCAAAGTCACTTGAAATCTTCCAAGCCATTGGAGAGAGCGCAATGAAGACATTGAAAGAAGGAGATAAGATTCAGATCCAGAGGCATGGGTATTTCAGAGTCGATAAAGCCTTTGATGGGAATAAGATCATCTTGAACAAAATCCCTGACGGAACTGAAAAGGGTCCAAAGGTTAAAGCCGAAATTGAAGTCAAAGAGAAAAAGCAAAAGAAACAAACCAAGGACGATAAGGAAGACCACCCAAATAGAGATTTGAAAAAGGAGAAGGAAGCTAAAGAGAAAAAGGAGCAAGCGAAAGCTCAAAAGAAGGCACAAGAAAAGAAATAATTTCATTATTTGAAAAGGTTCGTTAGAAAGTTTTGTTTTTCGAATTTGAACGGAATTTATTTTATTTCATATTAATTAAACATTAAATATTAATGTTTAATTAATATGAAATATTATAATATTATAGACATTGAACAAAATTCAAGTGGTCTATAAATCTATAAATTGGGAAATCTCGTATTTATTAAATGAATTCCCGTTTTTTGAAGTTTATTATGTGTATCACATTACACAAGCTGAAAGGGGGAAAAACATTTAAAATGTCATTATATCTCTATAATAATAATAAAACGAACTTGGGTGTTATTAAAAATGTTGAAAATTTTTATATATCTTTTCATTCATTATAATATTAAGATACTAATCATTATATATACTAAGATTTCATTAAGTAAAAAAGTTGTGTAAAAATTTTTTTTTTAGATAGTGTGTTTTGTTTTATAATTATAATTATTTCATATAATTAAAAATAGTTAAATTAATAATTATTTTTTTAGTTATTTTTAAATTTTATTAATTATTGTTCTAAAATATTCCGGACGAATTAATCTAAATAACGGGACATTAGGTTTGAATTTATGTTTTTCATTTGATTTGAAAACAAAAAGTAATTAACTAAAACATAATTATTAAATTATAATTATACCTTATATCCACTTACTAGTTTTTATAATTTAATAAAAAACAACCGAAGAGCAAATTCCATTAGTAATAAGTTGTTTCTATTGTTTTTGGTATTTCTGTCTTAATTTCATAAATATGGAACTATAATATTCTTTTTGTACTTCTTTTTTTTAAGGTGAAGAGGAAAAATAACAGCTTATTTAAAAGAAAGAAGTACAAAAAGAATATAATAAAACAGGATAAAAATACCGAAGTAAAAGCTTAACTGGAATTTCTTACTTATTTTTACTTTTTAAAAAAATACGTCGAGAACAAAAAAAGATCTTCCAATGATACCCGTCAAACAGCCGCGTACGACGCTAGCGCGCCCTCGCGACTCTCAGTCCAAAATCAGTAGTCTGACCGACGTATCCACGTGGTCGACTTTGGGCGATCAATTGTCGAAGAACTACTTTATATGCAGACCCCATTACTCGACTCTTTT